ATGACAATTACTAGGATTAAAAACCTTTGGTTGGGGGGCGGAATAAAGCAAATGTGGAAAAGTCTTTACAACTGCTGAGTTTAGGTGATAGGTATACACAAGATCATTACAGTATTCTGCTTATGCTATTCCGTGGTAAAACAGACAGAACCCAAATATTTCTGATTCCAAATTCTATGGCATACATCAAAACATTGTAAAACTTCCTCCAAGTGATGCTCACTCTACTTCATGAAGTTGCATCTCTTAAAACACACACAGTACTGTTCCAGTGGTCATTTCTCATTGCCCACATACATTGTTTGATGGGGGAATAAACTCAAATCATATTAGCATCCTCATTTGTTTTGTATTCAGTTCAGTTCAGTTGCTCAGTCCTGTCCAACTCTTTGCGACCCCATGAACCGCAGCCCACCAGGCCTCCCTGTCCATCACCAGCTCCCAGAGTCCTCCCAAACCTATGTCCATTGAGTCGGTGATGCAATCCAACCATATTTTCCTCTGTCGTCCCCTTCTCCTGCCCTCAATCCTTCCCAGCATCAGGGTCTTTTCCAATGAGTCAGCTCTTCTCATCAGGTGGCCAAAGTACTGGAGTTTCAGCTTCGACATCAGTCCTACCAATGTTTTGTATTAGCTTTCCCAATATACACAAGAATCAGTCTCAGTAGTAGAGAAACTGGCAGTCAAGAAAACTACTTTCAGGAAACCAAAAAGCCCTTGCTAAAATGCAAAATAAGTGGTAGAAGTTCAACTTTGCGCAAAATAGTCTAAGAATATCACACAGGAAAAAACATGGGGGTGGGGGGGGGGATGAGAATTAAGCCAGAAATATCCAAGACACAGAAGTGGGTTAGGGAGAAGTGTAGGGATATAAGTAAAAGGGCACTAGAGAGGCTGGGGCTCGGTTAGGGCGAGTCAGGAGTGTGTGCCAGCAGGGAAACATTTAGTGTAGGGAGACTGTAAAGAATGTGGCCGATGTTGGGGACGTGTTGGACACGTGCTCCACGGGAAGGAGATGGGATGCAGGAATGTGGGGGTTAGGAGAATAAAGTGGGTTCAGCCAGCTGTGGAGGGGATCCTGGTGCGGAGAAGAGTAAACAGAAGCGGGGAGGGGGGAGGAGAGGGCAGTGGGGAGTGTCGGTGAGAAGAGACGACCACAGTGAGGTGGGGACCGGAGCGTCCCGGGAAAAGGGTAGGCGCGGCGAGCAAAGAAGGCGGGGAGTGGGAAGAGGCGCGGAGAGCTGCAAGGGGGAGGGCCCCCCGGGGTTGGGACGGAGGTCCAGGGGCCGCGTGGGCGGGAGACGGCCAGCGTCGTGGGCTGCGCCGGAACGGCAGAGGCTGGGGGAGGGTCTCGGGGCAGGCCCGGGTCGCCAGAACTCAGATACCTTGAGGGCTTCTAGCCGGTAACGCTGGGTGGAGCTGGGGTCCATCATGATCGTCACCGCTTTCACCAGCTGCTCGCACAGCGCGTTCACTCGATCCATCGCCATGAGTAGTGCCACGCACCACGAGCGCGCAGCACCGTAGTCCTGGGAGCACGAGGCAAGGACCGCTCCGTTGGCGGGACCACACGCTGGTACCGGGCCGCGGCGGGCCGAGGCGGGGCGGTGAGGAGCAGGAGGAGGAGCGTGAGCCGCCGAAGATCCAGCCGGGAAAGAGCCGGCGCTGCGCACGCGTCCGACGCACCAGTGCGCATGCGCCCGCGGAAGTGGCGGCTCCCCTATGACGGTTGCTCCTTGGTGGGCGGAGCGAGAGACTTTGGGGCCGCGGTACGCAGGCGCGTCAACGGTCCCCGGCGGCGCGCGCGCTGTGTGATTGTCAGGAAGGCGGTGTGCCGGTCGCGCTGGCCAAGGCTGGACACGCCCGACTGTGCTGGCAGCTGCTTAGGCGAGAGCCGTCTGCGACCCTCGGTTCTTTTCTCCGTCGTTCCGGGGAACAAATCTGTCTCGAAACCGACTGATCCGTTCCCAGAAAGGGGACAAATATTCAAGACCGCTTTAACGTCCTTCCAGTGGACACCTAGCCCAGTCTCGGCGGCGTCCAAGTGTCGTCACATTGGTAAGAGAATTTAGAACCGTTCGGTATCTCTGTTTTTAGACTTTTCATGTTGCCTTGGCTATTGGTTGTATAATATAGCAGTGATTGAGGACAACATTGGACCGAAATTACAGTGAAGTAGAAAGCATTGCTTACAGAAAAGGCCCTCGTATTGCCTTTTAAGAGAATTTTTCTTGTGGGGAAAAATGGTAGCTCTTAAACTTCCCTCTTGTACTTGTTTTCCTTGGCTGTGTTATCAGCTTATAGGCACTAAATGTGTTTTGTACAGATCTTGGTAAATCGAGATCGTTAAAGATGAGGAATTGTAAATACCGAAGGTTTGTACAGTTTTGGTCATTTGAGGTGTAGCCTAATCCTTATTCCCAAAGGAAAGTTTTAACATGGAGCGTATTTCAGTTTTTATCTTTAAAAAGTTGTTGCTTTTCCCGGCAAAATACGTAAACTGAAAACTAAAACAGTTAAAATCTAAATATCCGTTTTTGGTGTTTGAATATTTAGGAAATGTTTGCTGTATTTAAATCACTGCTCCCTGTTCCTACTCCACTTTTAGTATTTGTATCTAATATGGTACTTAGGGGTGTGTGTGTGACAATGCATTTACTATTTTTAATCTGATGTAAGTCTGTGTCTGTATGTGTGTGTGTGTGTGTGTGAGAGAGAGAGAGGCATTGCATTTACTGTTTTTAATCCGAAGTGTGTGTGTGAGACAATGCATTTACTATTTTTAATCCGATGTAAATCTGTATGTGTATGAGACAATGCATTTACTATTTTTTAATCCAGTATTAATCTGTTCGAAGACTACACAAAAGCCACTTCAGGGTAAAGTGATTTCTGGTATGTTATGGTTTAAAGTATTACATTCTGCCTGTTTTTGGTGAGTGGAGTTTGTAAGGAATTAATGCCTTGACTACTATGATTTTTTGAAGTCATCATTGTTCCTCCCTAATCTTCCAGCATTGTAGTAGCATGACACTTTTTTCAAGGTGAATGTTAATTTTTGACACTTAAAAAAAAATAGTTGAGTGCTTACTCAAGTGTAAAACCTGTGTTCTCTCGTATTTAAATCATAAATTACTGGTATCTCCACAAATATCTTGTTTACATTAGGTCAGTGGTTTCCAATCTCTGCTGCGCATTAGAGAGGACTTTTAAAAAATTGCAATGCCCAGGCCACACCCATACTGATTAAGTTAGATGTCTGGTAGTAGAAGCCAGAAATCAATAGTGTTCCTAGGTTATTCAAATCTGTAGCAAAGTTTGGGAGCCACTGCTTTTGTTTACTAAAGCCTTCTTTCAGATTTCTAACAATGTTAAATGAAAACATTAGCCTCTATCAACTTTATAAGGTTTGTTCTTTCAATCTAGCATCCATACCTTTACGTGTGTCTGTCTACAAATAGTGTGTAGTATTTTCTTTTTTTTGTTTGCTTTTGTCTTCAAAAGTTGAACATGAATAGATAGAAAATCAGCATTAGAACACTACAAACTAATTGTTACAGGACAGATCCATTGATGGGTGCTCAGAAGTTCAAAATTTGAAGAGAAACGGGATATTTGCATAGGCTCAAAGTATGTCTTCCAAGAAAGGTTTAGTAACTTTACAGTGAGAAACCTAGCAAACACTGTCACTATTCAATGATATGTTTACCATCACTAGTATTAAGACATAGTGACATGTACTTCCAAACATGATACATTACTCGAGAAAAGCAGAACATTTCCACAGTGTTCTTGCCTGGAATGCATAACCTCAGTCTTATCAAGAGAAAACATCAGGGCTTCCCTAATGGCTCAGTTGTAAGGAAGCTATCGGCCAATGAAGGAGACACGTTTGATCCCCGACCCTGGAAGATCCCACATGCCTCAGAGCAATTAGGCTGGTGCTCTAGAGCCCGGGAGGGAGTCGCAGCTTCTAAAGTCCATGCACCTACTAGGGGCTGTTCTCCGCAACGAGAGAAGCCACTGCAGTGCAAAGTGCGCATTGCGACTAGACAGTAGCCCCCACTCACAACTAGAGAAAAGCGCAAGCAACAATGAAGACCCAACACAGCCAAAAATAAATAAAATTAATTTTTTAAAAGAATTTATTTAAAAAAAGAAGGGAAAACAACAGACAAACCTAAATTGAGAGATGTTTTCAAAGCAACTGAGTAGTTCCCTTTGAAAGTGTCCAGGTCATGAGAAGCATGAAGTGGCACTGATTGGAGAAGACCAAGGAGATGTGATGACTAAGACTGGATCTTAAGCTGGATTCTGGAACCAAAAATGGACATTAATGGGTGTAACTGATAAAATTCAAGTTAAGTTTGTAGTGTGAATATTATACTAATGTTCATTTTTTAGTTTTGATCATTGTGCTGTGTAAAATGTAGCATTAGGGGAAACTTGGTATGGGAGAGCCCTACTATATTTGCAATTTTTCTCTAAAAGTTTTTCAAAATAAAAAGTTTTAAAATTCACATGAATGCTTTGATATTATATATTATTTTGTACTTCTCTTTACCCTGAATTTATATTTGAAATTTGTCTGTCCATTAGATTAACTGTTGGCTTTATCCCACCATTGATGTACATTGTAATTTGCATTTGTACATGCAGTTTGCATTGATGTACATGCAATTTGCATTTCCCTATGCCTAATAACATTGAGCCCATTTTCATGTGCCTGTTGACAATCTGAGTATCTTTTGTAAAGTGTTAAGTTCTTTGGGAGGAAATGGGTATTTTTTAAAGCTTTTATTATTATCCTTCTAAAGTTGTTGTATCAATTTGTTATTCTCCTGCCAGCAGTATATGAAAATGCCTGTTTCATTCTTGTTAGTTTCCATGCTCCCATGCTTACGGTAATTTGACAGTGAAAGAATGGAAATACAGTTTTCTTTGGTGATTTAGATTCAATATCCTTTCTAACTGTTCATAATATATTGTCTTACAGAAAAATGACTAATGGAAGAGACCGGGTAGTTGCCCTAGTGGACATGGACTGTTTTTTCGTTCAAGTGGAACAGCGGCAAAATCCTCATTTGAGGAATAAACCTTGTGCAGTTGTACAGTACACATCATGGAAGGGTGGTGGGTATGTATCATAGTTATTCTTATAACTCTAAACTACTGGTTTAATCTCTGAGAATACATGGCACTGTGCTATGTCCTAATTTTGAGAGTTCTGAACTGCTGTGTTTGAGAATGAATAGTAGTATCAGTGGGACTTTCATGGCAGTCCAGAGGTTAAGACTTCACTCCAGGGGGTATGGGTTTGATCCTTGGTCAGGGAATTAAGATCCCATATGCTGTGGTGTGGCCAAAAAGTATTCAAAAAAATAGTAGTAGCATCAGTGGCCAAAAAGTTTCTACTATTATGTTTATAACCTAGTTGTCATGTGAAATTTTATGATCATGTAATTTTTGCTCCATGGCCAAAAATTAAGAAAAATAAAACAGTAGCATCTGTGAGCAAAAAGTTTCTGTTATGTTTATAACCTATTCATTATGCTAAATTTTAATTACTTTTGCTTATGATCATGTAATGTTTTTGCTCCCCTTTTTTTCCTAACCTTAGAATAGTTGCAGTAAGTTATGAAGCTCGTGCATTTGGGGTCACTAGAAACATGTGGGCAGATGATGCTAAGAAGTTATGTCCAGATCTTCTACTGGTACAAGTTCGTGAGCTCCATGGAAAAGCTAACCTTGCCAAGTAAGAAGAGAAGATGGTTTAAGGAGAGTGGAGGAGTTGGAAGCATTTCATGAGGCTAGGAGCTGATGTTTTCTAATTTGTTTTATGTAAATGACATCTGAAAAGGTTCCCTTCAGTCAGCCAACTTTTTAGTGTGACATGAAAACAGACTTTAATATTGTGTTTTAGGAACAGTTGAGAATCATTATTACCTATAATAATATCTATTCTTTAATACCTTTTCAGTTCCTTAAATGTTTAAAAATTGGTTATTGTAATTAAAACTTAACACCAGTTCCAATGTTCTCAGGTCAAAAGTCTGACGTGTTTGAAGTTATTAAATTGATTGTGAAACTTAAAAGAGTTTTCCCAGAGAAAGTTGAGTCAATTCACATTCTAGTGCAATATCTAGAATTATTTGCCAGAATTGAACAGATTCAAAGGTGCTGACCTTCTCTGTTTTGAACTGAGCTCTCTCCCCCAAGATTTTAGAAAGTTAGCCTCAGAATAGACATTAGTATAGGCATAGCCAAGTTAGAGGTAGATACAAGCCCCCACCATTATAATAGCTAGTATATATTGAATCCTAGTAGAGATGTTGAGAGATGTTTTCAAAGCACCTGAGTAGTTCCCTTTGAAAGTGTCAAGGTCATGAGAAACATGAAGTGTTTCTTCCCAGTATATATTGAATCCTAATAGCTAGTATAGATTGAACATATGTCATATGCCAGGCACCGTGTGACATTTTTCATTGGTAGTGTCTCTTAAATCTCACATCGTTATAAGGTAAGTTCTAGTATTATCCACCCCACCCCCTCCCCACTCATTCCTACACACACACACACGCACACACACACACCCTCACACAGATGAGGGGCAAGTTTAGAGAGGTTAAATAATTGAAGTTCATATAGCTAAAAAGTAGAAGACTGAGGATTCAACTTTTTTTCAGATCTCCACATTCTCACAGTACACTATACTGTGTGTGGTGGTGTGTGTAGGGATCATGCTTTGACTTGGGACTTGAGATATTCCTGATTTCACCTATCAGAAGTCTAAAAGTAGAGTGTCATAGCCAACCTCACACTGGAATTATTGCCAGAAAAGGAGACAGATTTAACTGAAGATTAATACTGTTACTCTAAAGTAGAATTAATTTAGCTAATGGATGTATGTTACATTGCATTGAATAGAATTTTATGCTGGCTGGGAAAGACAGTGTTATGTCCCAGAAATATAGTTGACTTCAGAGTGTGATTTTGAAAAGCCATATGCCGCCGACTTTATACTGGATCATTTATTTTACCCTTAAAATCTTCAAGTAATGAACAAAGGCAGTTTTTAAAAATTTAGGAATATGTTTATAGACCAGAAAGTTATTAAGACCTGGATAATTTAAAATTATTTTAATAGTTAACTTGAGATGCCACATTATAAAAATAAAAATATGATTTGCAGAAACATATATGTATGTATATATATATACACTAAGTTTTTCAAGTATTTGTAAAAAATATCTTGGAGTAATTTACTCAAGTCTATGAAGGAACACCAACTACTGCATAAGAGCATCCTTTCCTTGGTCTGTATGTGAGTATATTATGCTATCATGCTCTTAGGTACCGGGAAGCCAGTATGGAAGTGATGGAGGTAATGTCTCGTTTTGCTGTAATGGAACGTGGCAGCATTGATGAGGCTTATCTAGACCTGACCAGTGCTGTGCAAGAGAGACTACAAAAGCTCCAAAATCAGCCTATCTCAGCAGACTTGTTGCCAACCACCTGCATTGAAGGGTTTCCCCAGGGGCCTACACCAGCAGAAGGGACTGTTGAGAAAGGTACTTCCATAGCATCAGTATCGCTCTGCTTCCTGCCTCTGGAGCCTGCTTTGCTTGGCCACACTGCTCCTTCTTGGATTCAGTGAAAGGAAACTTAACCTGCAACGTGAATGAATCTCAAGGACTCACATGGAAGGATAGACAAATTCTCTTTATCTTTCCAGGTATATGGATATTGAGAAGCTGTGAAATCTGTAAAATCAAGTTTCTCCTTAAGCATAACTAGGGCAGGTTAAAGTTATCAGTAGAAGGCTGACTGAGCACTTCCATTGTTTGTAGGTTAATTTATATTATTATAATGTGGTTCATAAGAAGGGTGAGCTTTATTAAGGGAACCTCAAAAACAGGGAGTTGAGTTACTCACAGGATGATGTCATCAGTGAGCTGCTAAAGGCCTCTCATTTTATTTGACTTATTTTATTCCTTTTCCTCTTCAGAGTGATTCCCTTCACTCCCTTCCTACCCCACAAACCCTCTGGCACTCACTGACAGATCGTCTTAAATATGTATGTGTCTGTATAAATTGTACAGTGTTGCTTTGTACATGTGCTTTTAATTGTTTTTATTTTGATAATTTATTATAATTTTTCATTTTTTTTAAAGTATAGTCAATTTACTATTATATTAATTTCAGGTGTACAACATAGTGATTCAATATTTTTGTAGATTATATTCCATTTCAAGTTATTATAAAATAATGACTCTGTTTCCCTGTGCTGTATCATTTATTTTATACACAATAGTTTGTAACTCTGATATCCATACCCCTAATTTGCCCCTTCCCCTTCCCTTTCCTCACAGTAACCACTAGTTTGTTCTCTATATTTGAGTCTATTTCAGTTTTGTTGTATTCATTTGTTTATATTTTAGATTCCACATATAAGTGATAACATATAGTATTTGTCTTTCTCCGATTTAATGTGTGCTTTTAAAACTTGGGCTTTTTATATAATGTGTCCTTAGCACACATATAAGTGAAAAGATGTTCAACATCAATAATTATAAGAGAAATGCAAATCAGAAATACAATGAGGTATCACCTCACACTGGTCAGAAGTGCCATCATCCAAAAAATCTCCAAATAAAAATGCTGGAGAGGATGTGGAGAAAAGGGAACCCTTGTATACTGTTGGTGGGAATGTAAATTGGTACAGCCACTATGGAAAACAGTATGGAGGTTCCTTGAAAGACTAAAAACAGAACTACCATATAACCCATCAATCCTACTTCTGGGGTATATACCCAAAGAAACTGTAATTTAAAAAGATACATGCACCCCAGTGTTCATTGCAGCACTATTTACAATAGCCAGGACTTGGAAGCAACTTAAATGCCTATCAATAAAGGAATGAATAAAGAAGATGTGGTACATATATACAAAGGAGTATTACTCAGCCATAAAAAAGAACAAAATCATGCAATTTGCAGCAACATGGATGGACCTAGAGATTGTCATACTAAGTGAAGAAAGTCAGACAGACAAATACATGATATGTGAAATTTTTAAAAAATTGATTTTTTTTTTTGGAATAAAAAAAAAGGTACAAATGAACTTATCTACAAAACAGAAGTAGAGTCACAGATGTAGAAAACAAACTTGTGGTTAGCAGGGGATAAGGAAGGGAGGAATAAATTGGGAGATTGTAACTGACATATATATACGTTACTATATATAAAATAGATGACAGGAACGTGCTGTGTAGCACCAGGAATTCTACTTAGTACTCTGTTACGGCCTATATGGAAAAAAAAATCTAAAAAAAAGAGAGTGGATGTAGGTATTGAGACATGTATAACTGATTCACTTTGCTGTATACCTGAAACTAATACAACTTTGTAAATCACCTATACTTTTAAAAGTTTTTTAAAAAGATGAAGTTGAGTATAAACTGCATTAATTTGCTGTCAAACAGTGTTAAAAAAAAACTTGTGGTTCTTAATTACAAGATAGTGTTAAGGTATTATAGATCTCATTCTTTTTAATTTTCTTTCATTGGTGGTTTTATAGATCTACCTATGTAGCTGTATTTATGTGTAATTGATTTTTAGAAAATTATTAGAAAGTTATTTAGAAAAATTTATTATTAGAAAAAATTATTAGAAAAATTTTTAGAAAAATTATTTTTTGGGGGGCGCTGGGTCTTCATTGCTGTGTGGGCTTTTCTCTAGTTGGAGCGAGCGGGGGCTGCTCTTTAGTTGTGGTTCATGACCTTCTCAGTGAAGAGGCTTCTCCTGTTGTGGAGAATGGGCTCTAGGGTGCACAGGCCTCAGTAGTTGCGGCTTCCTGGCTCTAGAGCACGGGCTCAGTAGTTGTGGCGCATGGGCTTAGTTGCTCTGCAGCATGTGGGATCTTCCTGGACCAGGGATCAAACCTGTGTCCCCTGCATTGGCAGGCAGATTCTTTACCACTGAGCCACCAGGGAAGCCCAATTGATTGCTTTTAATTGCAGCATAATCTATGGTATGGATCTACTATGTTTACAGACCCTTCTGTTTATATGATGAATGTCCTTATTAATCCTCTTTTGCACCTATGCAAGGGTTTCTCTGAGTATTTTCAGGTGCGATTGCTAGATCATAGGGTATACACATAGTTTCACTAAATATTGTCAAATTGCTTTCCAGAATTTCTGTAACAATTTGCCTGACCCCTTACAGTACACAAGAGTTCCTATTTCCTCCCTATCCTCACCAGCAATTGGTATTATTTAATATTTTAAAATGTAATAGCTATAAAGGTGTACTTTATGTTTTGGGGCTTGAATTAACTTATATTTCTCTACTAATTGAAGTTGAGCTTTTTTTCATATACTTGTTAGCCAGTCGAGTTTCTACTTTTATGAGTTTGTTTATTTATAATTGCCCAATTTTCCATTGGATTTCCTGCTCTTTTTTGTCGGGGGAGAAGTCTCCTGTATCCTCATGGTTGGTTCCTTGTCTGTTTTGACACTTCAAACATCTTTTCCGAGGTCTGTCATCCATTAACTTTATTTATACTGTACTTTGTTGAATGAATTCTTTTAGTCCTTCCATTTTTCACCTTATGGTTTGTGCATTTTAAATTTCATTTTAGACATCCATTTCTACCAGATGTTCCTAAAGACATTTTTCTATGTTTTCTTCAATTTGCCTTATAGCTTATTTTTAGATATTTCAACTACATGGAGTTTACCGTTTTATTTGATTTAAAGTAGGGAGCCAGCTTAATTATTCTTAGAGTAAGTCAGTTTTCCCAACAGTTATTTATTAATAATCCATTTTTCTCAACTTCTCATATATGTGAATCTGTTTCTATAATAGCCCATTAGTGTCTCCTTTTGCTTCAGAAACACATTGTTTTTATTAATTTGTGGTATGTTATAATATTTGATAAGGACTTCCCTCTACTTTTTTCAAAATTGCTTGGCTATTTATGGGCCTTTATTGTTTGATATATATTTTAGAATGCATTAGTTGAATTCCTCAAGAAATTCTGGAAGTTACATTGAATTCACATTTTTTTAAATTTATTTATTTTTTAATATTTATTTATTTAGCTGCACTGGGTCTTAGGTGTGACATGTGGGATCTAGTTCCCTGACCAGGGATCAAACCTGGGTCCCCTGCATTGGGAGCTCAGAGTCTTAGCCACTGGACCACCTGTGAAGCCTCTGAATTCACATTTTTAGAAAGATTAGTATCTTAGTGGTAAATTAATCTATAAACATTTCACCAGCTTTTTAAGGTCTTCATTTATGTACCTTTTAGTGATTTTTATTCTTTAAAATGCGTTTTGTTGAAATGTAGTTTTTTTTTTAAATTTTGGCCCTGCTGGGTCTTCATTACCATGTGGGGTTTCTTTAGTTTCGGCCAGTGGGGGCTACTCTACAGTTGCGGTATTCAGGCTTCTTATTGTGGTAGCTTCTCTTGTTACAGAGCACGGGATCTAAGGCATGTGGGCTTCAGTAGTTGTGGCACATGGGCCTTGCTGCTTCTGACCAACCAGGGATTGAACCTGTGTCTCCCACATTGGCAGGCAGTTTCTTCACCACTGAGCTACCAGGGAAGCCCTGTTAAAGTATGGTTTATTTACAATGTGTTATTTTCTGCCATACAGCAAAGTGATTCTTTAAGCCATATACATTTTTTTTTCATATTTTTTCCATCATAGTTTATCACAGGATGTTGGTATAGTTCTCTGTGCTATACAGAAGGACCGTGTTGTTTATCCATTCTCTGTATTGTAATAGTTTGTATCTGCTAATTGCAAACTCCCAATCCATCCCTGCCTCCTGCCCTTGGCAACCACAGGTCTGTTCTCTTATGTTTTCTAAGTCTGTTTCTGTTTTATAGATAGTTCATTTGTGTCCTACTTTATATTCCACATACCTTTTAGTAACTTTTAAATTATAATTTTTATGATACGATTATTTCTGCTTCTTCTGAAATCTGGAGTCCAGTAGGTTTCCCTTTTTCTTTCTCATCTAAACTTTGATATAATACACATAAAGTGTGTAAATGTAAATGTACTTGAATGATTTTCCAAAGTAAACCCACTTGTATAAATAGAACCCAGATCAAAAAACATCAGAACTCTAGAAGCCACATTTGCTTGCCCTCCCAGTTATTCTCTGTCCTCTCTGCTCTCTCCTATGTAACAACTGTCCTGATTTCTATTGAACTTATTTTTGAAGTTTATAAAATTGAAATTATGCAGTATATACTTGAATCTGGCTTCATTCACTCAACATTGTGAGATTCATCCATTCTGTTGTATATAGTTGGGTTTGTGTAGTATTACATTGTATGAATATACCACAATTTACCCATGGATATTTTGTGGGGTTTTTTTTTCCCAGTTTTGGACCACTAATAAGAAGAGTTGCTATGAACATTTTTGTAAATATCTTTTGGTGAACAAATGTATGCATTCTGTTGAGCATGTGACTGACGTGCTCAGTTGTGGGGTTTGCCTGTATTCAGCTTTAGTTTGTCTGTACTCAGTGTTGGTAGATACCCTCAAAAGTTTTCAAGAATGGTTGTACTGATTTATAATTCCACTAGCAGTATATGAGAGTTCTAGTTGTGCCACATCTTTGTCAACCCTTGCTTTTTCCTCTTTTGTGTTTTAACCATTTTGATGATTGTGATATCATATATGGTGTTACTATATTATGGCTTTAGTTTGCATGTTCCTGGTGTTACTGAAATTGAGCACCTTTTTGTAAGTGATGACCATTCTTTCATGAAGTGTCAGTTTAATCACTTGCCCATTTTTCTTGGTTGTCTTATCTCATTCATCTATAGGACTTCTTTATGTATTCTGGATATGAATCATTATCAAATATATATATTGCAACATCTTATTGTTTGTGGCTTTTCTCTTTTTAAAAATTTTTTCACCATGCCATGTGATATGCAGGATCTAGTTCCCTGCCCAGGGATCAAATCTGTGCCCCCTGTAGTGAAAGCCTAGAATCTTAACCACTGGACTGCCAGGGAAGTCTTGAGACTTTTCTTCTCTTTTTGAGGAAGGCCTGTATTGCTATAAACTTCCTTCTTGGGACTCCTTTTGCTGTATCTCAGATTTTGTATGGTTGTGTTTTGCTTTTATAATATTTAAAATAATTTGTTGTTTAAGGTTTTTTTTAATTTTGAAGACTGTATGCCCTTTTGAAAACCTGTTGAAAGCTATGGACCCTTGCTTGTCTCAGAAAAATGGGATACCTACATATAAGACAATTTTGCATGCAGTTTTCAGGAGATTAGCAGACCCTCGCAAAACCTACATAGTTCAGAATAAGAACTGTTTATTACACATTACATTGGTTTTGTGGGGGGCAACTCATTGTTGAAGAGCTCTCTGGTGAAGATGATGGTGCATACCCTTGTTGGTGGTCAAATGTTACTTCAACTCAAATGGTTGTTCTATACCTATCTTTATTAACGTTTTTCTATGAAATGCCAGTGTTTTAAAGAAGTCTTATTTCTGTATGAGGAAAAAGGTATTTGTATATGAAGAAACAAGTTGCTTTATTGTGTCCAGTTTAAATATTAAGCTTCCAGATGCAGTGATAACATCTTATTATTTAGAGTGTTCAGAATAATACAATGTCTAGGAAATGATTTATGGTGATATTTCATCTCATACTCCTGAGTCTTCATATGATGTGTGCAGCCAGAAAAAATCTGATAACAGAAATTAGCTGATCTAAGTGTATATATTCTCCCAGAAATTATTTTTCATGAATGTGACATATTTCAAAGCTAGGAAAACAATTCAGGTATCTATGATGTTTTGATACTAAAGTTCCCATTCAGCTTTACCATCCTGTCTCTTAATGGGTCCTATTCACCCATTTGCAACTTTGGGTTTTCTGTTTCTGAAATAGTTGTGTGTGTGTGTGTGAAGTTTAAGCAGTATGATTACTTAAAAATAATACTCAGAACTTGCCAGAGTGAAAACTTTCCCTTTGGGACTTCTTTGTAACTGGTTTGTGTTAGCTAAAGAACTCCTTTGTTTTCTCCTTTGCTTCCTCTTAATTCATTTCTTTCTAAGCAAATATTGAACACGTGAATGTATATAACAAGAAACAGTTGTGTAGTTGTATTCATATAAAAATATTATAAATCAACTGTCAGGGACTTCCCTGGCAGTCCAGTGGTTAAGACTCCATGCTTACGCTGCAGGGGCCATGGGTTCTATCCCCTGGCCCACGTGCTGCCCAGCTCAGCCAAAAAGAAACAAAAAGAAGATAAAAATAAATTAATATTTAAAAACTTTTAAAATATCAGCTGCCAAAGTTGAGAGCTGTAGGAGTTGGGATAGACTCCTTGCAGGCTTTGAAGAAGGACGCTGCCATATTACAAGAGGGCCTATGGAGAAACCCCCATGTCTAGGCTCTGAGGGCTGCCCTCTGCTGACAGCCAGCAAGAAAGAAGGACCTCAGTCCTACAGCCACAAGATGATAAATTCTGCGAACAGCCAGAGGGAGCTTGAAAGTGAAAGTGTTAGTTGCTCAGTAGCATCCAACTCTGTGACTCCATGAACTGCAGCCCTCTAGTCTCCTCTGTCCATGGCATTCTCCAGGCCAGAATACTGGAGTGGGTAGCCATTCCCTTCTCCAGGACATCTTCCTGACCCAGGGATCGAACGGGTCTCCTGCATTGCAGGCAGGCTGTTTATCATCTGAGCCACCAGAGCTTGGAAGGCACTAATCAGCTCATGGCACAGAAGAAGGTACACCGGTTATCAGTATAGGGACTTCTCTTTTAATAGTTATGGATCCTAGCGTTGTGGACCATAGCTAGAGTTGATCAGTTTAATCCTGAAGTTTTGGCACATATTACCAGTGCTCATTCTTACGACAGTTCTACTCAACATTGTACTAGAGGTTCAAGATGATGCAGTCAGTACAGGAGAAGAGATAAAAGATGTGAAGGAAGAAGGATATAGGAGACATGGCCATGTTTATAGAAAATCCTAAGGAATCTACCCACCCCCCACCCCCACTAAAAGAACCTAGAATAACAGATTAGCAGGGTTGCAGGGGACAAAGACAATGTGCAAAAATTTATAATATTTCTACATATTAAAATCTAAAATGGGAAGTTGAAATTTAAAAAGCAATGGCATTTGCAATAGCATTAAAATCATGAAATTATTAGAAATATATCTAACAATATATGTGGAAAAAAACAGTTCAACATATATGCAGGTTAAGCCCTAAGCTGGCCTGCAGATTTGTTGCATTTTCACCAAAATCCCAGCAGGATTTTATAGAAATTGACAAATTGATTCTAAAATTTATATGGAAATGCAAAGGATGTGGAATAGTCAAACAATTTTAGAAAAAAACTAATTTGTAAAACTTAACACTACCTGGTTTTAAGAGCTAACTATAAATTTATGGGTACTTCCTAGTGATCTAGTGGTTAAGACTTTGTTTCCACAGCAGGGGCTATGGGTTTGATCCCTGGTGTGGCCAAAAACAAAGCAAAAGTTAAGGTGGCACAGGCAAGAATGGAAGAAATATGAATAAAATAGGATGAGTTGCAATGGATATGTGGAATATGCTGAAATGGCCTTGGTAACTAGATAACTGCAATTGTTGTGTTAGTCGCTCAGTCGTGTCCGACTGCGACCCCATGGACTGCAGTCCACCAGGCTCCTCTGTCCATGGGATTCTCCAGGCAAGAATACTGGAGTGGGTTGCCATTTCCTTCTCCATAGATAACTACAATGAAGGGGAGTAAAAGAAAAGAAGTCAATATTAGATTTTAAACCTTTAAGAGAAACAGGAAGTTGTTTGGGAAAGAGAACCTTTGGGGAGGAAGATATAAAGATTGACTTTAGTAACATTTTGTTTGATACTTTAGTGAAAAATTCAAGAGGACTTTTTCTGTAGGGAGGTAGAAATAAGGGATTAAAGTTTTAAGAATTTGGGGAAGGAGCTTAAGATTTGCATGTACTCAGCATAAGCAAATTGAAACATAAGCCAGTACCAGTTCACTGAGAGAAAAGGTATCTATACAAAGAATGTTGCTCAGTATCCACAGTTAGGGCATTAGAGGAGGAAGACAGGTTAGCAAAGGAGAGAAACAGCAGCTGGAAAATAGTTGAAAAATACTTCCTTCTATGTGGTCATCTTCCTCCTAGTCTCATATGTATGAACCTTCACTCTACCTCTTCAAGATACTCTGTATCTTCTTGCCTTGTTCATAGTTCATTTGTGTGTATGTGTGTGCTCAGTCATGTCCGACTCTTTGCAACCCTTTGGACTGCAGCCTGCCAGGCTTCTCTGTCCATGGGTTTTTTCAGGCAAGAATACTGGAGTGAGTTGCCATTTTCTCCTCCAGAGGATCTTTCTGACTCTGGGACTAAACCCATATTTCCCACGTCTCCTGCATTGCAGGCAGATTCTTTAACACTGAGCCATCAGGGAAGCCCTCACTTCAGCCTCTTTAAACCAGCATGTGTATATTTCTTAACTTTCTTGTTAAATAATGCGTTTAAAATGTTTTTCCAAAACTCACTAGTCCTAAATTGGATAAAAAGATATTTTCAAGGCTCTAAGTACAAAGCTACATCTAATTTAAATACTTTGTCGAGAGAATAAATCTTCTAGCGAAGATTTATTTATATTCTTCTAGAATAAATCTTCTAATCTAATCTGATTAGATTTAAGCTATTCAACTGGAACCAGCCTGTAAAATACAGATGTGCTAACTTAAGTTTATACTGAAGTGTGAGCTAATTCTGAATAATTTCTAATTGAGTAACTTAATAGAATTCTTGGTGGCATGCAAGGGAAGTTGGAGGAAGAAAGTTCAAAACTGGAGAGAGAAAACAGAAGTACTTTTAAATCATTGCTCATAAAAGACAATACAAAATATTTGTTGGTTATTGGAGCTTACAAGGTTCAGCCTAGGCTGGAAATTAAGGCTGCTGGACTTGGTATGAGAAATTTATCTCTGTTGTGATACTGAGTAGTCTTCTAAAAACATATCTAAAGTACCTGAAATCTAAGCATTTCTGCATTAGATTACACAATTAAATAAAACCCTGATTTTAAAAAAATGTCTACCTGTGACCTCTCGACTTTTTCAGAGGAAAGGCGAAAACAAGGCTTATTGCAGTGGCTTGATTCTCTTCAGACTGAAAGCACCAGCTCCCCAGACCTACAGCTCACTATGGGAGCAGTGATTGTGGAAGAAATGCGAGCAGCCATTGAGAGGCAGACCAGTTTGCAGTGTTCTGCTGGGATTTCACACAATAAGGTAAAGGCTAATAGTAGATTTCAAAGAGAAATACAGATATATCTATAGTTAAACACAGGGATAGAAACAAACACAAACTTAAAAAAACAACAACAATAAAACATAGCCAGGATAGACAGGAGTGGGGCATTTTTTTTAAGATTTTTTTTATGGTGGACTATTTAATAGTCTTTATTGAATTTCTTATAATATTGTTTCTGTTTTATGTTTTTCTTTTTTGACTTTGAGACATGTAGGATCTTAGCTCCCTGACCAGGGATCAAACCCACATCCCCTATGTTGGAAGGAGAAGTCTTAACCACTGGACCTCCAGCAGAAGTCCCTAAGTGGGGCATTTAAACCATTACACATCTTTGAAATGGGTTCCTCTTTAAACTTCATATTGAAGACAAAAACCTAAGTAATTCTTCAACGTGAGAATTGACGTTGCACATGTACTTTCCTAACGAACAGGCTGAAAATTTTGCTGGAAATGGTTATTTACATAGGTGTAGCCACAATATTCCCTTAATGATTGAACTATCCAAAGAAAGGAGGAGGTGGGAATTCCTTGGTGATCCAGTGATTAGACCTTGGCACTTTCACTGCCCAGGGCCTGGGTTCAATCCTTGGTTGGGGGAACTAAGATCCTACAAGCCTGGAAGTGTGGCCAAAAAAAAAAAAGCTAGTCTTTTTATTTTATATATGAACCTATTTCTTTTCTTTTTACTTGCTGAATATTCTAGTATTATCTCACTTCTTCTGTGGTGTTACCTAGGTATTCTCTGCTTTTTTCTATTCTTTCTAATTAAAGTACAATTTGGCCCTGGGATCTTCATCCCCTTTGGTCTAGGCTTAGTCATTGGGGTAGCTGATTTTCCCTGGTTACTACCTTCTCTTCCTTCCTCAAGAGGAGGAAAGTTCAGCACTGTGCAGCTTGTGGGATCTTAGTTCCCTGACCAGGAATTGAACCCAGGCCCTCAGCAGTGAAAGCACTGAGTCTTAACCACTGGACCACCAGGGAATTCCCAAGAAGAGAAAAGTTGCCAAATTACCTAGTAGAGTTTTGGGAGGTTTTTTCCTGGATAGGTGGAAGGAGAGGAAACAAAAATCTCAGTGTAGTAATTTAAACTAAATATGACCTAGTAGAAGTTTTAGAGAATCTCTCCCATGAATGTGAGGTAATTTTATATTTTTTCCTACCAATTATAATTTGTGAAATGATATCACTGAAGTACCTTATTCTTTGAAAAGACTTCTCATGGGTGTTTTTCATTTTGAAGTCTTATTTAGTAATAAGATGTTTGCTATTGGATGATGATTTTGAGCCCAGTCTTTCTCACAAATACTAAATGATGGTAACCTGTATTAAACTGGGACTTAAAATGGACTGACCATTAATCAATAAATGTCTTTAGGTGGGGTAGAGCAAAATGAGTTTGTTTTAGCATTTTCATATGAACACACTAAGAAATGCCTCTTAAGTCTCTTCTGTAGCTTCTTTGTTCTTTACCCTCTTGAAGTAGAACTTTAAGGAACAGATGAGGGTGGAAAAAACTACTAAAGGAAAACTGAGAATGGAAGATGTGGGAAGAACAATGAGGATAATGATAGTGGGTCATGTTTTCCACTGTGGATGTTGTTGGACACCCAGGTTTGGAGATATCTTGAGTTTCTGGTTCTGTTTTTGTTTTTAATGTGGAAACCACCAGTTACAGCCCTTAAGCTGTGCCTTGTGAGTGAATGGGGGTATGTGTGTATATTAATATTCACCATGTGTGGGTGTTAACAGTAATGAGATTTTTACGCTTTCCATGCTCCAGGTTCTGGCAAAATTGGCCTGTGGATTAAACAAGCCCAACCGGCAGACCCTGATCTCTCATGGGTCAGTCCCACAACTCTTCAACCAAATGCCTATTGGCAAAATGTAAGTATTCAGGGAGCACCTCAGATTTCACTCCTCTATCTATGTGAAGGTCCTCTCTGGTTGTAGTTTCTTCTGTTCCTGAAGAATTGGAGCCAAGGAAAACAGGTACCATGGAGACAGGAGGGAGATGACCCAAAATTTTGCAAACACTGAGATTTCTTAATGAACCTTCAATTCCAGATTATCTGTGGAAGATACTTAATCCTGAATTTTAAAAAAAGAACTGATTTTTAGCCATATGTTTAACTTCCTTCTAGATTTTTTATTAAAACCTATTACTAAATAACAAATAGGAATTTTAATTCTTTCCTTTTTTCTAATTTCATAGTAAGCCATTCAGGGCTATTGAATTGTTCCCAAATAAAATTAATAACTAGGCTGTGCATACCAATTGTGTGTCCTTGACAAGGACTTACAGTGTTGTTGAAGGGACACAATATAACTGTTCAAAGCAATAGTGAAAGTTCTGTAATCAAGACTGTATGGAGCTGCTAAATGAATTGTACAGGGAGTCACCAAAGTTCATAAAGTCATCTGAGGACATAAAAAGGGCATGGGGTCTTGTTTTCAGATTTGGCACAATTTGGAGTCAAATGAGAATATAAGAGAAAAACCAATTTGGAGAATGTTTTGAACACAAAAAGGGGGAAAGTATAAGGTATTTTCAGTGAACAGGACATGATCCTAGGACTATATTAAGGAAAATAAGTAATGGAAAAAGGACTGAACAGATAGGTTAAGGACAGATTATTAGACATCTCAAAGGCTAGGCTGAAAAATTACTATATTCTTAAATACAAAAGGTTTTAGTTATTGAAAGGATTTGTTTTGGGAGGTGGAATTTGAATCCATAAATGGGACAGTAGATCCTATACAGTTAAAAATTTTATATACAGTTGATTTGATAACCACTTAATGACTTTACCCTTGTGTTTATGCCATGGTTACTCTTCTTCCTAGGCCCTAACTCCCAGAGTATTGAATTTCCCAGTCATCTAGTCTTAATTCTAGAAAATCAGTAATTTACAGGACCAGTATGTATTGTCACTTTCCCTGAATCTTCTGGAGAACTGCTTACAGAAAAAATGTTTTGTATCTACTGCTTACTAGATATTGATGATGTTAGTTACAAATATATTGTCTTTTGTTGTTTCTGTTAGCCGTAAGCTTGGAGGAAAACTAGGGGCCTCTGTCATTGAAATCCTGGGGATAGAATACATGGGAGAGCTGACCCAGTTCTCTGAATCCCAGCTCCAGAGTCATTTTGGGGAGAGGAATGGGTAAGTGATTCCTGAAACTGTTCAGTCGTAACTTTTATGGATTTGCTAAATTCAAATGTAGACAAAAGCATCAGGTAAAATCTAGACCTATTAGGTTAACATTCACTCCTTGAGGTAACTGCATTGATCCTTTTGCTTTAAAATATTAGATCACTATAGGCTATCAGTCTAGTGTTGTTTTTTTTTTCCCTTCATGTACCTAACTAACTAGGTTGGTAGAAAGGAACTCTTACTTTGAAGCTTAGTTATATATGTGTACAACATATGTGTGTGCTAATATGCTGTTATTCCTTTAAGATCCTTGTATTTAGGCTTAATAAGTACCAAAAAAGCTTGGGGATGTGAAATCCTGTAATTTGGTTGGTACTTTTCCAAAAATAGAAATGATGACTTGACCTTAGAAAGCATAATCAGAATTCTTCTCCTGAGCCAGTTTATCATACTGGAATTCATGGGGAAGGGCAAGATTCTGTGATGTACTTAATTTTGAATAGATTTTTCTTTTTTCATGAAAGGGATAAAAGGTTTAGTATAATATAGGTATTTTAACAAGAATAGTCATTTGCCTTCACTTTAAACTTTTGTGTTGGTTTTATTAGATCTTGGCTATATGCCATGTGCCGGGGGATTGAACATGATCCAGTTAAACCCAGGCCAATAACCAAAACCATTGGCTGCGGCAAGAACTTCCCAGGAAAAACAGCTCTGTCTACTCGGGATCAGGTGGGCAGACATTCCTGACAGAACATTGTCTCTTTTAAGGGAACTGGTGGGTAGGTTTTGGTAGCTGTGCAAACTTAGATGGAACCTTCAGGCTGTAAAATATGTAGGAAACAGAAGGGGTTTTGTGTTGAAAATTGATGAGTTTCATTTGGGATTATTTTTTTTCCTTTCTTCATCTAAAAAGAAATAGAATGGAACTGACTGAAGTTTGAAATGGAATTACTCCATTGGATGAAATTACTCCAATGGATGAAAACTTAAGAAGCCAGGATATCGTGCCTCAAGTTTGTGTCTTTTTTTCTCAGAGCTGGAACATGCCTGAAGTTCATCTAATAGCATGCCAGCAAGAAAAGAAAGTAAAAACTCCTAGATTAGGGCAGGTCAGAGTTCTGAAGATTTCTATCATCTGGTGATCCTTACGGGGGAGACTTTGTTGCATACTTCCATTTTGGGGAGAACTGAACAAAATGATCATTTGTGTGTGCTAAGTCGCTTCAGTCATGTCTGACTCTTTGCGACCCTATGGACTGTGGCTGGCCAGGCTCCTCTGTCCAAGGGATTCTCCAGGCAATAATACTGAAGAGGGTTGCCATGCCTCCAATATCTTCCCAACCCAGGGATCAAACCCATGTCTCTTACGTCTCCTGCACTGGCAGGCAGGTTCTTTACCACTAGCGCCATCTGAGAGTTCTGTAATAAACCTAGTCTTTAAATGAAAGATTAAAATCTCAATACTTTTTTTAGGTACAATGGTGGCTTTTGCAATTAGCCCAGGAACTAGAGGAGAGACTAACCAAGGACCGAAATGCTGTAAGATTTTCTTTATTGCTTGGGTGAGCTTTGGGATATAAATATCAGTATGGAGTAGAAAGAAGATACAAAAAGATATCAGCTAGAAAATGTTAAGATATCTTTTATCTTTTCCCATAAAACTGCCGTAGAACTCTATGATTTTCAAAAACCTAGATCTGTGAACTACTGACTACTCCTGTCTCCTTCATTGCCATTTGCTTTTACGTTTTTGTATATTATCTAAATCCTACTCCAACTCTGAACATACAGTAGATCTTCAATAGAGTACAGAACTGTTAAGCAGGACATTTAGGGATTGGACTGTAAATTATTCAGCTTTAACACAGCCCATGTGACGAAGTATTCAGTTTTAGAGACAGTCTTAAGGCAAAGATTAAACATGATTAGTTTATCTTCTCTCTTTAAAAAAACCTATTGATATATATATATATATACACACACATATATTTACACACCATCAAATTCACCCATTTACAGTATAAAGTTCAGTAGTTTTTGTATATTTCAGAGTTCAACTATTCTATAATCAATTTAAGGACATTTCCATAACCCAGAAAGAAATCCTGTACCCACTAATAGTTATTCCGCCAGCCCTAGGCAATTCTAGTCTGCTTTCTGTCTGTATGGATTTAGTATTCTGGAAATTTCATATCTGTGCAGTAATCTTATATGTGGCCTTTTGTGACTGGCTTGAAATCTTTAACATGTTTTCAAGGTTTACATGTATTGTAGCATCTATCAGTCCTTTTATTCCTTTTATGACAATAATATTCTACTGAATGGATATATCACATTTTATTTATCAATTCATCAGTAAATGGATGTTTGAGTTTCCACTTTTTGGCTATTTTAAGTAATGTTGCTGTGAACATTCATGTACAGATTTCTATGTAGACATTTTTTCACTTCCCTTGTATATATACCTAGGAGTAGAATACTGAGTCACATGGTAACTCTTTGTTAGCACATCAGGCTGTCGTTGCACTATTTTATACTCCTGGCAATGTAAGAGGCTTCTAATTTCTCTGTATCTTTGTTGTTTAGTCGCTAGGTATAAAATGGTTTTCAGGTGCGTATTGACTGTTTTCTGATTTTATTTGGAGAAATACCTGTTGAGATCCTTTGCCCATTTTTGAAATGAGTTGTCTCTTTATATTGAGTTTTAAAACTTCTTTATATGTTCTGGATACAAATCCCTTGTCAAATATATAATGTACAAATATTTTCTCCCATTCTGTGGATTTTCATTTTCCTGATGGTATTGCTTGATATGTCCTCTTCTGTTGAAACATCAACTAACTATATACTATCAGGAATCATCTGTAATTAACTGTCTGCCCCCCTTTAGCGGAAGTGGTGGTAAATGTTTGTTTTTTGGTTGTTTTTGTTTAGTCACTAAGTCATGTCTGACTTTGCAACACATGGACTGTAGCATGTCAGACTCTTCTGTCCTCCACTACCTCCCAGAGTTAGCATCACTGACTCAATGGAGATGAATCTAACCACCTCATCCTCTGCTACCCTCCTCTCCTTTTGCCTTCAAGCTTTCCCAGCATCAGGGTCTTTTCCAGTGAGTCAGCTCTTTGTGTCAGGTGGCCGAAGTATTGGAGCTTCAGCTTTAGCATCAGTATTTTCAATGAATGTTCGGGATTGATTTCCTTTAGGATTGACTGGTTTGATCTGCTATCCAAGGGACTCTCAAGAGTCTTCTCCAGCACCACAATTCACAAGTATCAATTCTTCAGTGCTTCGCCTTCTTTATGGTCCAACTCTCACATCCCTACATGACTACCGGAAAAACCATAGCCTTGACTATATACTTCTTTGTTGGCAAAGTCATGTCTCTGCTTTTTAATATGCTATTTAGGTTTGTCATAGCTTTCCTTCCAAGAAGCAAGCATCTTTGAATTTCATGGCAGCAGTCACCATCTGCAGTGATTTTTGAGCCCAAGAAAATAAAATCTATCACTGCTTCCACTTTTTCCCCATCTATTTGCCAAGAAGTGATGGGACCAGATGCCATGATTTTAGTTTTTTGAATGTTGAGTTTTAAGCCAGCTTTTTCACTCTCCTCTTTCACCCCCATCAAGAGGCTCTTTAGTGCCTCTTCACTTTCTGCCATTAGAGTGGTATCATCTGCATATGTTGTTGATATTTCTCCCGGCAATCTTGATTCCAGCTTGTGCTTCATCCAGCCTGGCATTTTGCATGATGTACTTTGCATAGAAGTTAAATAAGCAGGGTGACAATATACAGCCTTGATATACTCCTTTCCCAATTTTGAACCAGTCTGTTGTTCCATGTCTTGTTCTAATTGTTGCTTCTTGACCTGCATACAGATTTCACAGGAGGCAGGTAAGGTGGTCTGGTATTCCCATCTCTGGAAGAATTTTCCACAGTTTGTTGTGATCTATACAGTCTAAGCTTTAGCGTAGTCAGTGAAGCAGATGTTTTTTTCTGGAATTCCTTTCTCTGTGATCTAACAAAGGTTGGCAATTTGGTCTCTTCGGTAGGTAACAGAAAGAGGTTGTGCTATGGGCCTATTTGATGTTGCCCACTAGGTGTCGCTCCGTTTTCATCTCTTTATCCTCTGATAGTCTGACCTCATGTCCTGTCATCTCCCCCTCACTTACTCCACTAACAGCCTCCACTCTGCTGGCCTCTTCCCCGTTTATTTAACACACCAAGTAAATTTCACCTTCACTTCCTCATCAGTTCCTCTATCATATCCAGCAGCCTCTGTCACTCTCTGCCTTACTCTGCTTTTTTCCATTGCACTTTGTAGTCACTTCTATTACAAGCCTACTTGTTTATTATATGTAGCTCCTACTACAAGATAAGATCCTCCAGGGCCTGGACTTTATTTTGTTCTCTCCTTTATCTCTAGATAGTGCCTGATACAGTTATAGTTAACTGGTTTTAGTCAACAAGGACTTCTTTGTAGTTGTGATTTGTATTCTCTTGAGATATATACAAACCTGAATAAGCTGTATTTACAAAATCCACAAAAATACAAAATGTATTTTTACCTAAAAATTAGTTGCTATTCTCGGTTTATTTGTCTTAAGTATATTTCTTTTCACTGGAATCTTTTGATTTTGAGGAGTCCCTGTGTATACTTGTCTCACCTTATTGCCTCTTGGCCTTACTTTCTTAGTTTGCTTTGCATGAACAGGATTCATATACTTAGATTTCACTGAAAAGTGAGTCAGTGATCTTGCTTTTTAGAGGCAAGCTCACTACCTGTGTATCTTCTATAGATGGGCTGTAAGGAGGGGCTAGTAGAAACTTCTCTTCTTGAGTATGAGAGCATCAGAGAGGTTAAAGAAGAGATCCACTACTCAATCCTGACCCCCTTTCAATGACTTACGTGAACTCTTCCTTCAGTCACAGAATATAGTACTATAGACCTTTGTATAATCTTCCTGCATGGATACCACAAAAGAACAGTTAGGAGAAACCATTTTCATTTATTCTGTCAAAATATCCTAGATATTCTAATACTCCATCACCCAAATTATGTCTTCTCCAGCTACTTAGAAACAGCACAAATATTTTAAAAATTAAACCCTATTTCCAAACCATTCTGCCACCCTGATTCTTCTCTCACACAGTTCAGTATTAGAATCCAGCTGCTCAAAGTAACTTTAGTTCTGTCTCAATCCTCTTACACCCACAGAACTACAGGGTGGCCACTCAGCTGGTCGTGAGCATGCGCATACAAGGAGACAGGCGTCTCAGCAGCTTGCGACGCTGCTGTGCCCTCACCCACTATGATGCTCACAAGATGAGCCATGATGCATTTGCTACCATCAGGAACTGTAACACTTCAGGAACCCAGACTGAATGGTGAGTTTCCTTCTAGCTCATCTTCGTTTGAGACTCATACCCTGTCTTTATTTAAAATTAGTAAGTATATAAGCTTTCCAGTTGGGGTAGGTTCTTTGTAGCAGGACCTGTTACAGAGAGGGGTGGTCATGCATTAAGGGAGAGAACACAGTAGAAATATCAGAAATATGGTGCAGCCTCTTTGTCCATTTGGTGCCTTCCAGTGCCCAGGGGTGAGAGGCAGACTGAACCAATACTACCCTTTCTGATACTAAAATTATGTTATAGTCAGGGGAACAACCAGTTGTACCTGGGAGTGCAGAACTCCAAGTTTTAGAGAACTTCTCTCTCAACTGTCTGATTGTTGTCTTTTAAAATCATTCTCCTTAAAAAAAAAAAAATCATTCTCCTTGATAGTGAAAATGACCTGTATTTACCAGTAATCTCTATCTCACATCCCAACTCAGTTACAAGCTCCACTGGTGTAATACCAAATGTCATAATAATAAATTTCACTTCTGCTGGCCATTAAAAATAATCAGCTTTGTATGGGAGTGTGTTCATTTACTGTTCAGATAGCAATGATTTTCAGTATTGGAATCCTATCATTATTTAACATAGCCTCTTAAATTGTAAAAGTATTCCAAATTCACAAGGTAAATATATTAATAATATGTGAGAAAGTGGTTGTTTATTATAGATCTGGTTGTTTATTATAGATCTACATTAGAGATTATAAAAAGAAAGTTTAGTTACCATCTTAAGTTATTGCTTATCTGAATATATTACTCTCTAAAGTTAGAGTCTTCGTAATACTTAGAAGACTTACTTGAAGAATACTTACTTCTTGGCATACTTGTTATTTACAAAGACTCTAATGAGAAGTAAATTATTCTAAGTAAAGAATGAATATTTTCAAATATTGAGTGCTTTTACTGAACCAAATGATAATTGTGATACTATGTTCACATTAAACCTTATAAACTGACAGATTATAATAAATTTCAACAACAGTATAAAATATATTGGCAGGGAAGCATAACAGTATCTGATTATAAGACTCTCCCAAAGCATGAAAGAGAATAGTGAGATACTGTCATAATAATCTTAAAATAGCATTGACCCTTTACCTTATTGAGGGACTAAACCTGTATATAAAAGCACATTTTCATCTTCGGAAATTCAACTTCTGTGAAAATTTATTTGGGTAATGAGACATAATGAGGAACTTCATGACAGAAATTTCTTGAAGTATTTCTGAGACTAGGCTAGGTAATCAAAAGCAGTTGTGAAATTTCATCCTCTAGATAAATTCCAGAGTTGAAAATCTATCAAGAGTTCAGGTTCTGTTTAAAAACAGAAGACTGTATAGAGCATTTTTCTTGAAGTCTTTCCAGTCTGAATATTTTAAAACTTTTTGGTAGCTCTAGATAGTGTCTTGCCTCAACCCTGAATTTCAGCAGCTGTGAAGCAGTATCATGAAAACAATAAACCCACTTGTCAGGGGAGCCAACTTACACATCCTACTTGCTGGGTGTTCACCAAAGCCAGTGGTTCTCAGGGTGTGGTCCTAGACCGCAGCATCAGCATCACCTGAGAACTTGTTAGAATGGCAGATTCTCCACCCATTCCAGGTCCGCTGAACCCAGTATACCCACTTTTGTGGCAGAACCAGGGTCCCAGTCATTTAGAAACTTACTGTGACCTGCTGCTAATCTATTCTTTCACTTTCTATACAGGTCCCCTCCCCTTATAATGCTTTTCCTCTGTGCTGCCAAATTCTGTTCCTCTACCCCTTCACCTGGTCCAGACATCACCATCTTCTTGAGCAGTGACCCAAGTTCTCTGCCAAAAGTGCCAATCACCAGTTCAGAAGCCAAGACCCAGGGAAGTGGCCCAGCGGTGACAACGCCCAAGAAAGCAACCACTTCTCTGGAATCATTCTTCCAGAAAGCTGCAGAAAAGCAGAAAGTCAAAGAAGCTTCACTTTCTTCTCCTACTGCCACTATACAGGCCCCCATGAGCAATTCACCATCCAAGCCCTCATTACCTTTTCAAAGCGGTCATACTACAGGAACCGAGCTCTTCTTTAACCAGAAAAGTCTGCTTCTAAAGCAGAAGCAACTCTCTAATCCTTCAGTTTTCTTCCCTCCACAGAAGCCACATTCTAGTCCTAAAGAGTTACCAAACTATTTTCCAACAGAGAATCCAGATTGTGCCCCTAACTGTGAAAAGATGTTGAAGCTAGGATCCCCCAAGACAACTCCCACAGAGATGGATTTGGCCCAGAACAGCCTCAGTAGCCATGCTTCTTTAACTTCTACATCTGCTCTGGAGGTGGCTCAGAAGGCAACTATGACCTCCAGTCTTCTGGCTGCTGAGGACCAAGTGCCCTGCGAGAAGTGTGGTTCTCTGGTACCTGTGTGGGACATGCCAGAACACTCGGACTATCACTTTGCATTGGAGTTACAGAACTCCTTTTTGCAGCCCCACTCCTCAAACCCGCAGGTTGTTCCTGCCAGTTCTCCTCAAAGCAAAAGAAATCCCAAAAGCCCTCTGGCCTCCAATAATAAACGGTCCAGGCCTGAGGGCATGCAGACCCTGGAATCATTTTTTAAGCCATTAACACACTAGTGCTGCCCTCAGGCTTGCTGCAGGGTGTTAACATTTTATATGTAACCTGGGAGGTGGGAGTATGTTCACTTCTCAAGGAGACTTATAACTTCATGAAATTTTTAATAAGAAAAATAATCCAGATCTTGAGTTAAGGCTCCCATCTCTTAACAGGCATGGATTCAAATCCTATTGCTGATAAGGATGTAAAAACTCATCTTTCAGATCATAACTGTTTTGAGTTTTTAATTGTTAGTCTTTAGGGAAGCAGTGTCAGTTTAGAATGCCTGAGCCTCTGAGCTTAAGAGATCTGGTTCCAAACCTGGCTTTGCCTCTTGGAATATGTCCTCAAGACCTTGTCCAGGACCTTGTTACTCCCAGTGCAGCACAAGGGAACCTGTTAAACATAATCTCAGCCTTATCCCCACCTCTGCTGAATCTGTGTATTAATGAACTTGAGAAATGAATTTGATCTAGAAGATAATAACTATCCTCTGGGCAATGTCATTTCCTTAGACCCTAAATACACATTTAAGAGGGAAGTGCTTGGGCCTTCAGGGTCACCGCCCTATTCAGCTCTTTCCTATTCAAGTGTGCTTAGCTTAGGGTTTTAAATGAATTATTGTAGCTTTTTGCACTTGTCTGTTAATATTACTGTATACTTACTCTGCCTATGTATAGAAAGTCAGCTGTGGCTTTTCTGATGTGGGACATGTTGATTACACAGAGAAGCCAGCTGAAGGTGAACTGAGTGATGGGGGCATAAGGTACATGTACTCAAACCAGTACTTCTGGGCTTATTTTAGCTTATTTATAAATTGGGTACCTATAGTTTGAAGGGGGAACATTTGAAAACCACTGTGTCTAGCAAATTAGTTCTTCCTCCAAAAATACTTTCCACTTTTGTGGCAGTTAAGTATCTAATAAAAGACAGTACTTACCGTTACCGTGTCCATGGCTCTTCCTTACTAGATCTGTAGATTTCTTAAAGGCAAGACTTCTTCACAGAGACTTCCCTGGTGGTCCAGTGGCTAAGACTCCCATGCTCCCAGTGCAGGGGGCCCAGGGGTCAGTCCCTGGTCAGGGAACTAGATCCCACATGCTGCAACTAAAGATCCCACATGCTGCAATGAAGACCCAGTGCAACCAAATAAATATTTAAAATGGAAAAAAAAAAATTCTTCACAGTGCTTTGCACACAACAGGTGCTTAATATTCATTGGACGGATATACAGAATGAAAATTTTAGGGTTAGGGGAACTAACACAAAATGTACAGACTACTTATACACTTTTTCATCCTTCTCAGCACTGTATCAATGCAGAGTGCCTCACTAGTTTGTGGAGATGTCTCAGTATCATTTTCTAAAACTTCCTTTCTTAATCTAGGGAGAAATTTGAAAAGAAATTTCCTTTGGGTGCTGTACAGATCAAGTTGAACAAATTGTTAACACTTCGGTAGACAGGAAGAAGTCATACAGAAAAGCACTGTGGTAGAAACTTTGGTTCCAATGGCCTTCTAGAGGTCAGGAGCGGTCCTGGGGGGAGGGGAGAGGGAGCACCAGCAAAGAACCAACAAGGCCACACCGGAAGCACACCTTGGTTTCTTGGGGATGCCAGCCCTGCCCCCGCATACTGGTGAGGAGCCCATGGAGGGGACAGCAGACAGATGTGCAAAGGCTAGTGTTGGGAAAGCTGTAGTACCTTCACGCTGACTGCAGCCTTCCCTCATAGCGGTTTATGAGCAGCTGTACAGAAGGAAGTAAAGGGTTCTTAGTTCCCAACACCAGTAGGAAGTTCTTCAACCACAGGCTTCTTAGTAGCCAGTTAAACCAGCAATATTTAAAAAGCAGCCAAGGGACTGTGCTTCCCTTGCAGGGGGTGCAGATTAGATCCCTGGTGTCAGGGAACTGATGCTTCACACTGTGCGGTGTGGCCAAAAAGGGCAGCTAAGCCTGAATGATAGGGAGGCTCACTTTAATGCTCTGAAGGCAGAATACCCCTGGGAACATAGGCCACATTTATTATTAAATTTCTTTTGCAAGGATCAGTACTGCAAATGTAGTCCCTGTTTTTTGCATTGGACTTTAACCTTGAACCATATTTCTCCACACATAGAATGTGGTAGTCAGATACTCTGAACACAAACAGGAAGAAGACAGGTTTCAGTGGGTAGCCTTCAGCTCCAAAAAGTCAGTTTAGATTGTATTATGAACCTCACTTCACTTTGCATTGCTAGGAAAAGAGTGAGGATCAGACTGCCATGTCTCTTAAGTTCTACCCATCACTACATAGCTGGCACGCTTATCTCCAAATCTCTGACAGGGCAGTCATCAGCCTCCTTATGTAACCCTGTGACCAACTCCTCAAGTACAGGGTGGGTACCTGTCTTAGCTGGAAAGGTGACAGTTTCACTTTCTATTCTGCTCAAAGAACTATGCAAACCAAGCCAGAAAATGTGAGTCACAGCACTGGAACACTGACCCCAAGTGGGGGAAAGGAGAGGACACAGGGTGAACGGGGGGTCAGATGGGTTCTGTCCCCCCATCAGGGCTTAGCAGCGTAAGGGTTTCGCTTTTCTCTGATCCTCGAGAGGAATTCAGCTCTGGAAGATGAGCCTGGGGCTTAAACATATGCACGGTATGTTCAATAAAACATTTTTATTCTGTACAATATATATATGTGTATTTAAATATATATATGTGTATATATATATGCAGAGAAACCTCAACCAAATCCCTGAGTCCATGGGAACCCAGGACACTTAACAAAGGGAAAAGAGGGAATCCATGCCCTGAAGAGTAGGAAATATGGCAACATCTTTCCCTTTCCTCCAGGTTCCCTGCAACAGAGGGAAAGGGATGCTCACTGCAAACTACTAAAACAAGAGAGGACTTACACGGGGCCAGAGGGGAGGTGAGGGTGTGGGACGGGGAGCTGTGGTCGGGGAAAGTAAAACATCCTGGCTGATGCAGCGTTAAAATCAACAGATCACTGCGGAGGTGGGGACAAGACTTATTGACATGCAGCTGACCTTCGGTTGGCCAAGTCTTAGCCTGGCGGCCCCACACCTGGGCCAGCACAACAACAAATAGCACCTGTGGGGCCTCTGAGAGGATAAACCGGGGACGTGGCCCTTGAGTGAAGAAGGGAAGGGGGAGAAAGCTAAGGAGCTGACTTGTGTGTCGGCACAGGGCGGGAGCTCGGCCTTCACTGTCCCTGTGCCTTTTCTTCAGACCCTGGGCCACCGGATGGCCCGGCGCAGAGGTCTTTTGTCCACAGTCAAGTAGAGGTGGGCAACTTACATGGCCTTGAGAAGAGGTATAGAAAAAGGAGAGCTTTCGAGGACCACCCCCCCGCAGTTGTAACAATTCCTGACATGCAGGGACCACACCGGTGGATCATGCCCAGTCCTGACAGTGGGGCCGGTGTGGCGGTGGTCAGCTCCCTCCGGTGACAGGCCACAGGGTTGCCAGACTTGATGAGCCAACCAGGTGAACACTAGGCTGCTGAGCACTGCCCTGAATTCTCCTGTCTTCTCCCTCACGTCTGACTGCCCCTCCCTGGTCATACCTAGATTGGCATGTCTCCAGAAAAGTGGCAGGGAGCAAGCAGTGGAGAGCGCCCCCTCTCTCTCGCCTACTAACACACAGAGCCGCCAACGTGGGGGCAGCATGGCCGGAAGTCACCTTTTGTATTGTAGGGACAGCAGCAGAGCTGTGCCCGCTTGAAGTTCAGAAGCCCATGTTGGCCTGGGCCTCTCCTGCTGCAATGGCTTGCACATCGGTGACATGGCCGATGCCTTTGGTGACACCCTCCCGGAACAGCAGCTTGGCGCCCACCTTCAGGTACTCTGGGTGTTTCAGGAAGCGGAAACGTACCACTGCCTTCTCCCCTGTCCGCAGCTTGTCCTGCAGCAGATACACGGTCACTGGCCCTGGACCATGCCTCTTGTCTCTACTGGCCTTGGCCCTCCACCCTCGAGGGTTGAGCAGGCATCTACCCACCCCGAGTGGGGCTTTGTGCTCTTTGAGGGATAAGGGAGGTCTCTGATTCTGGGGACAGGGTTCCCTCCTTTCTGGACGCAGGAGAATTCTGACTGTTCCCTGGGAAAACGGGGGCATGGCTGGGTCCCCTCACCTTGGCATGGATCTTCTCCACCACTGCTGTCTGGCGTACGTTGCCCACGTGTACTGTCACCTGGAAGCCTCGCCGGAAGGTGGTGGCATGGAAGAGCAGGACTATCTCTGCCTCGAACACTGAGCAGATGGTGGGGTTCATCTCTGGGCTCACCATCACCATGCCCTGGGGAGGCAGAGCCCTCGGACTCAGGAAAGGCAGACCTCACATTAGTCTCTCCTCCCGGGCTGCTCTCACCACCCTTTACAGCTTCCTCTTCCTCTAGGACTTCAACCACAAAGCCCTCAAAAGACTGAAAACCCTTCTCTCTAAGGAGCGCTCCCGTAGCCACCTCTGTGTCCTCTAATGCTTGGTATTTTCAGAGTCCTGGACACTAGGGTTGTGACACAATGATTCACATTTAGTGATCTGTGCTTTGTGAGTCCCCTAAGCCTTCTCCATACCCAGACAGTGTACGTCCATACCCAGACAGCCTTCTTGGGTTAGAGACCACGTTCCCTCTGAGTTCCCCTGAAGCACCTTTGGTGCTTCTCCTTCAAGTAGCCAGTCTCCCAGGCACTTCTCTTTGTGTTTTCTCTCCAACCCACTCTTCCACCTCACCTTGCGAAGGAGAGCTCTGTCAAAGTCCCCGAGGGCCAGCGTAGCGGCCTGACCAGCTCGCAGCACACGACAGGCAGAGCGGTTGCGTTGGATGCTGCAAACTCTGAGCTCCAGGAAGCAGCCGTCGTCCGTGGGGCCCACCACCAGCTGGTCCCCCTCACGGCAAATCCCACTGCAGTCCAGAAGGCAGGAGGCACAGCGTCAGTCTAAGCCCCCCACCTACTTCTACTAGGTCATTCCCTTCTGAGTCCCTCAGGTTAGGGGGAGAGACCCCAAATTGTGACTCGAAGCTAAGGGAGATGACTGCCTTGCCCCAGTCCAGACTGAAGGCTCACACCAGCAGAGCCTGGCAGACAGGGACCTGCTGGCTTAACACTGAACACCTGATTCCTGAAAGGGCAATCATGCCCTTGGGCAGAGTCTCAGGGGACCTCATTTCCCTGGTGGCAATGAAGTCAGCTGAATGCACTCGAGGTGTCTTTGTGGGGTCAAGACCCACACTTCCCCCTGCAGGGGCTGAAAGGTCCTAAGAAGTGGCAAGTTTCTTCCCTTATAAGCCAATTTATGAGCTTTCTCCAGCTCCTCTGATGGCAAAAGCCTCAGCTACAAACAAGCACATCTGTTCACCACCAGGGTTGCCTGTGAGCTATGATGTTTTCAGGTCCTTGGGTGTGTGAGGGCTGAGTTGGGTAGATAACAAGCAAGAAAGGCAATTCACCTGGAAAGCGTCCCTCCAACAACTGTGCCCACCTCTGGTACTGTGTAGATTTCATCCACCTGAAGCCAAAGAAGATTCTATCAAGGGCTGGCAGCTCCAAAACCTCAAAACAGACTCCGGGCTCGGGATTAGTCCCTCCTAGTTCCCCCGCTGACCGCCTGTCCAGATGGCCAATTACCTGGAACTCCGTCAGCTGCTGCATGAGTTCCTCCTGCTCTTTGCTATTGGTGAGTGGCGGCAAAATATTCAGAAAGACTTTGAGCAGGTCCAGGCTCTCTCCAGACACGCTGGACAGTGTGAAGATAGGGGTGATGCTGTAGAGGGAGGCAGGGAATGGGCAGATGAGCAAAGTTCCAATAGGAGGCAGAGGCTGGAGCCCCTACATGGAAAGGCAAGCCTCTCTTGGGGTGGACAGGGGCTCCCCTCTCCTATTTGCTAACCAGCTCAGGAGCTTGGGGTCTCTCTCTATGAGCCTGGCATTTGAGACCCATCTCAGAGCCCAGAGAGATGGCAAATGCCTGGCACAGCACTTTGCCTCCAGGTTCCCAGGGGTCAGCAAAGCTGACTGGGGGAAGGGTCAAGCCTTCAGCAAAGACTCCCTCCCACAATCCCAACCTGAAAAACCACAGAACTGAGCCGAACTGGTCTGGTCTGTCGGGAAGGGGATGGGTACCTCATGCTCCAGGGCCCAGTGGCAGCCTTCCCTGAGGATTCGGGAGTGAGAAAGCCTTACTTGGGGGACTGGGCAAACTGCTGAGCGGCAGTGACGGCGTCGTCCTCGGAGGTGACCAGCATGGGAACCTTGTGGCAGCCAGGCTGCTTGAGGACCCGCTCTAGCTGGCGTACTGTCCTCTCCACGGTGGTCTTGGCACACAGGTCCACCTTGCTGACCACGATGAAGAAGGGCACTTTCAGGGCCAGTGCCAGCCCCAGATGTTCCCGTGTGGTGCCAGCTGCTCAGAGAAGGTGGGCGGGAGAGTCAGGATGCAGGATGGGGGGTGAGAGCGCAAGAGGAGAGGTGGTCTGGCTCCCAGATGTGTGGGGGCCCGGGAGAGGAGAGTGAGCGCTGCCCCTGCGCCGATGCCTCTTACCGATCCCGGTGTTTGCACTGACAAGGAGCAGGGCGCAGTCGGGGCAGTAGGAGGTGAGGCCGAAGATGGTGGTGTGCAGGTATTTGTGGTGGCCTGCCAGGTCGATGAAGGTGATCATCTTGGAGCTGCTCTCACAGATCTCTTCTGCCGTCCGTGAGTCACTGTAATTCACCACCTGGCCCAGAGCCCCGGGCTCTCAGTGCCCCCGGCCAGCCTCCCCAACCCTTCATGAGTTGCCAGGACCTAAACCAGTCCCTGGGTAACCCTGCCTCTTAACCCTGAGCCCCACTGAGGATTTAGTTCAGTTGATTCCCTGTTTGTTTTCTAAGGAGGTCACAGCAGGTTCAGTGCCCAGGGGCCTTCATCTACACTACTCCACAAAGTCTCCACATTCTGCCCTCACACTCTGTCCTTCACCACTACCATCCCATCCTCAGAGTCTGGTCCCACTGGGTCCCGTTGATTGCATGCACCTCTCCCTTGCTGTTAAAGCCCAGGATCTCGAAGCTGATGCTGGAGGTTCGGCCAGACTGAATCTCATGCAGGTGACGGAAAAGGTTGAGCCGAGCCCGGCCCCGCCCATTGTCCAGCTCTCCCTGGGTCAGGACTCCAAGCAGAGTTGACTTTCCTGAGTCCACATTCCCCAGGACGGCCACACGAAGGTCCAGGAACTGCGGATGAATTGTCAGAGGTCAAGTTCCAACCCCTCAACTCTGTCCACTGAAAGGTCAAAAGCAGCGGCAGGGACTTCCTTGGTGGTGCAGTGGATAAGAAGCTGCCTGCCAATGCAGGCGACATGGGTTTGATCCCTGGTCCAGAAAGACTGCACATGCGGTGGAACAACCAAGTCCAGGAGTCACCAGTACTGCAGCCTGTGCCCCTGGAGCTGGTGCTCCGCAACAAGAGAAGCCACCAGAATGAGAAGCCCATGCGCCACAATGAAGAGCGGCCCCCGCTCACCAACTAGAGAAAGCCGGGGCACACCACCAAGGACCCAGTCCAACCAAAGAAAACAAACAAAAAAGGCATAAGCAGTCTCTGGGGACCAAATCTCAGAGTCCCAGGCCAGGGAAGAGTCTGCCACCAGAGGACCTTCCCAGGGAGCAGGGGTGTGAGAACAGGGGGGAGTGGGGACCCACCTGCTGGTTGTCAGGAACCTTTCGTACAAGCACCTCGGTGATCTTCCGGGGTGTGTCACTATCATAGTCCACTTCTCGCTCCCGGAGAACAGTGATGTCTGCCCCGACTCTGTCACAGCAAGGCCACAGCTGCCACATCTCACCCGTACTCCCCATCCCCCTGCACCAATGGCCTTCCCATACCTCCCCAGAGCTCCGAACACCTTACTCCACTTCCTACCTGCCTCCAATCTATCCTGCATCCACAGATCCCTTGACACAAATGAACCTTAAGTCAAGGAGCAAAAAAGCCTGGATCCAGGGCAGAGGATGCCAGAAAACTAACCCTTCCCACTTCAGCCCTTTGTCCAGAGAAGGCGGGTCCTGGGGATTTAGGGAAAGGAGGACCAAAGGGAAGCATACTTCTCTGCCATCCGGTGCAGGGTCTTGAGGGAAGCCCGCATCTCCTCCTCAGCCAGCCCCACCAGCAGCCCATTGTCCTCTACCCCAATCTGGTAGACGGCCTCACCACGGCCCTCCTGAAGCCGCCACTTCATCTGTGTCACCAGGTGCTCAAAACGATACTGGGATGGATTCACCAGCTTCAGCTTAGGGCAGGTGAAGTACCATGAGAAGGAAAAGTCAGAGATGCTCCTGCTGAACCCACAGGTTCCCCATTTGTCCTGCTGCAAGGACTAGGGCCTTCCCTCTTAACCACCCTCATCCCTGACCTCCTCGGACAGCGAGTCCTCTTCCAACAGAATGAGGTACAGAGCCCTTACTCTGAACCACATCTTTAAATGACTATAGGGCATAAAGTTAGAAGGATCATAAAGAAATCATCCCACACCAAGGACAACCTGTCCCTCCCCAGCCTAAGACTCACTTTATATTCGATGTTTCCATCTTCAGCCTGAAAAGAAACAGGGAGCTGTTACTACACAGTGTCCAGACCTAACCTTTACTTCCCCGATTTCCACTGGGGTTCAGGTAGCTAACTTAAGAGAGCAGGAAGCTTGAGCTGCACTTGTTTAGGCAGGTGTCTGTCAAAGGCCATGGCAGACCAGCCGTGTACTCAGTTCCAGGGTGACCTCTCTGAAGGAAAGGCCTCTAAGAACACAGTCAGTCATCCATCTAAGCCAGGAACAGAACTCTGAGTCCCTCTTTTTTGGATCACTGGCAGCATGCTCATCTTAGATGCAAGATCACTGTCTTTCCTTCCTCCTAGGGCCTCAAATTGCTGTCCCCACGTCTGTGTCTTCTCCATGTCCAAGCTGCGGAGGCCGTTCTTCGCCACTGGTCTGAGAGACACCACTTCCTTCCTGCCCACCCCTCTCAGCTGATGACACCAAGAATAAGAGGTTGCAAGAGGTTTTGGAGCAGTGCCAGAGGGTGAGCTCAGCACTGGTCACTACAAACCCAACAAGAGAGGAGCCAGGAGAAGGAGAGACAAGTCTCCAAAGTTGGGGTTGAGATGAAGAAACTCAGAAAAGATAATGAAGGAGACAGACACCACAAACCAGACCACTGTGGCTTTTCCCCTTCTGTCCCCTAACCCTCACGCCCCAGCTGAGGTGAAATCTTGAATCCATCACACCGCCTCCTCCTCTTCCCTGTATCAGGTGACCCAATACAGAAGTATCCTATTGCCCAAGCCTTCCCCTCTCAGGTGCAAAAGGATATGAGATTTGCCTGTTCTGCCAGTCCCTTATTTCTGCACTCCTCCTCCCTGGCTATTTAATTTTTCTTCTCCCCTTCCTGTCATCATTCCATCCCTTCAAGGCTCTCTGACTCTCAGGCTCCTAAAGAGGTCTTCACCCATAATTTCATGGGAGTATAAAGGAGATCTTTCCCCATCAACAGAGACCTTCCTTTTTATCATTTTGCTGGAGATGAAAAATTAGAATGGGTGGCTTCAGAATACTGATACAAGGATGATGGTCTAGGCTAAAGTTTCTCAAAGTGTGATCCCAGGACCAGCAGCAGTCGCATCACCTGGGAACTTGTAAGAAATGCAGATTATCAGGGATACCTTTGAGCTACTGAATCAGAAATTCTAGGGGTGGAGCAGCAATCCAGGTGATTCTCTAAGGTGCTCAAGTTTGACAACCACTGGATGAGGCTCTCCCCCTGTGTCCTCCTTTTCTACAGAGGGACAAAGCAGCAACTATTGTCTGCCTTAGGGAACAGCTGGAGCAGGAAGGTGGAGGCTGTCCACACTTCCTCGTAGGACAGGCAAAGGGCGGGAGGACTTAGCCAGAGTGTTCTCCGCTTGTGTTTGTGTGTGTGTAAAGGGAGGGAACATATTGCTCTTTTCCCGGTACTCCTCTCCTCCCTGGAACAAGTTTAGAAAACTCTAACTCCTCATATCCCGGGATGCAGTCTGCCTTCCTTCAGTTGCACAGGAAAAGGGCTGGGGCATTCTACTCTGCTCTTCGCAAGGGATGCGGGTGGGACCGCCTTTCCCCACTTCACCTGGAGTTTCTTAGATCAGAGTGGGGAGATTCCCGCCCCCGTCCCAACTCTTCCTCCCCAGGGTCCTGACACAGGAAAGGAGGCCCAGTCTTTCTGTCCCTCCTCCCTGGGGTCCTTGGACCGGAAAAAACTTCTCCTCTTCTCAGGGGTCTATGACACCGGAAGGGGGTACTACTCTCTGTCCCGCCTTCCTGGAGTCCCGGGACCGGAAGGAGTGGTTACCTCTGACCCCGCCACTTCTCAGGTGCTCACCTCGGGGGGCAGGTACGGGGGGTTGTTGGCTTTGCTCCCTCTGTTCCTTCCGTTCTTTTTCTTCCCCTTTGGGCCACCGCAGCTGCTGCTGCCGCCGGCGCCCCTAGCCTTGAGGGTTCCGCCCACGGCCGGGCCCCCTCCGGGCCGGCAGCAGCCGCCGAACAGCTCCGATACCCGCGAGTCCATCCGCCGCTGCCGCCAGCCCCCCGCCCGTCCCCTCCCCCCCGCCACCGCCGCCGCGGACTCCGCCGCTGCCCCCGCGCCTACTGCCACGGCCGAGTCGGGCCAGCCAGAGGAGAGCGGGGTGGGGCCCTGCGCAGGCCACGCCCCCGCATCCCCTGGCCTTCGGGTCGCGTCAGAAACAGCCGCGGAGCACCATGGGATATAGAGTCCTCAAGCCTAGGAGCTTCCCGGAAAGAGCTCGCCGCAGCCCTACAACTCCCAGGAGGCATCGCGGCGCAAGGGGCCGAGGGCGGCTTCGGGGCGTAGACAAGGAGCGCGGCTTTGCGCGCAAAGGCCTAAGGGAGCTGTAGTCTGGTTCCAGTCTCCGAGAGCTGAGCGGGTCTTTCCCAGGGGCCTGGAGGTGGGGCAGTCACTGGAGTCGGGGGAGCTTACGTAGAATCTGGCCTTGTGGGCGCTTCTGGGTTTGGCCCCTTAACGCGATCCCAGACAAGATGTTTTGGACCTGGAGAGCTGAAGAATTCAGGGCGACTTGTCCCTCCAGCCTACTGGCTCCGCCCATGCCTCAGTTTCTCCCTCGACGGCATGCGTGCCTTCTGGGTGAGTCAGGACCAATGCCAGGGCGGAGGCGGATGGTGGTTAGCCTAATTATGGCTTTTATTGTTACGATGATTATGCCACCTTTACACAGTAGTCACTGCTTTATTACCGGGCTGGCACCCTCCGGGGGCTGGTTTTAGCAGCCCGAGACACCGCGGTGGCCCCGACACGAGGCTGGAATCCATAAATCAGCCCTGCCCTGCGGCGAGTGCCCGCAGCGAGTATTACCCCTCCCCTTTGTTTTGAAGTAGAACCAATCCGGGAGAACCGAGTTTGGTTTTAAAACAGCCAGGGGTGTCGGAAGAGCCTGGCCCCTACTTGGGCGGGGCTGGGGCTCGGGTTACGTCAACCGCTGCGAGGGCGGGGGAAGTTGCCTGGAATAGAAACTTGGCCAAGGGCCCGGGGGATTGCTGACTTTGACTTTCTTGCCAAGCTGTCATCTCTCTTGCTCTTTAGGGCTCTTGCAGTCAGCAAGGAGTAAACACATTCAGTGACATAAACCAGTGTACAACACACTAGAAAGGCAGAGTGGAGAAGCAGTTGGTGTTGCTGAGCTGCGAGTCAGGACGCCAGAGTTCAGTTCCCAGCCCCGTGGCTGTCTCGTGACTCACCACTCATCCATTGTACCGTCCACTTCCCTTCTTTTCACAAACAGCGAGATCCTCAAACGCAGCCCAGAAATAAAACAACCCTTCCCTGCAAACCTCAGTTTTCCTTGGAAAACTAGCACCAGTGGCTTACCTCTGGTGATCCTTGCCGAGGTTCAGACCTGCTGGAGTCCATGGCTTCCCCCCCAGGACCACAAGGAGAAAGGCAGATTACTGATCAGGTAGATGCTGTCCACATGGCATAACTCCCCGAACCGGTGAAAGCAGAAGGACCAAAATCTGCAAAAGGGCTTAGCAGACCCAACCAATTATGGGGCCTTCACTGGTTGAAAGCACCTGTGACTTCTGTATCCTGTTCAGCTAAAGGAAGGTTTGTTGCAGACAGCCAGGGACAACCCCACCAGGAAAACTGCTACTTAGGGGCTGAGTGAGACAGCTGAAGAAAGATGAGGATTGGAAGTGAGAGCTAAGAATATTCCTCCAACCTTATCACTGCCGCCGCCACCACCACTGGGCTCTTGATAACCAAGGTCTGCTGCAGTCACCTGATAACACTTGTGCTCTCATCATCACAGATCTTTCAGCTGTCCCACACACAGTTTAGCTTCATTCTTTCCAGTTCCCTTCTTTTAAGAGTTGGGGTGGGATAGCCCATTCTGATATCCATTCTTATACAATCTGGCTTACCGCAGACAGGAGTGAAGGCTGGCAGAGGAGTAGGAGGAGCAGGGATATCTGCCCAGGAGGGTCCTGGGAGATGGAAGGTGATATGTGTGTTTAGTTTCCTGGAGGGATTGCTTATGAGGTGCTTATGAGGTGGTTGCCTGTGGGGTAAATAATGGATGTACACACGCAGACTTTTTTCCTGGTACATAATTAGTCATTCATTCTTTATGTATAGTACCTTTACATATATTTTAAAGTCAGATTTAGCAGTATTTTTCTTTATATTTTCTTTGTTTTTGTGTCATGTCTAGGCCAACCCCACTCCTAAATTATGAGTTATTCTCCAGTATTTTCTTCTAGGAGTTTTGAGATTTATTTCTATGTTTATATGTTTAATTGATTTGGAGTGTATCTTTATGTAGAATGTGTAATGGGAACTAATCTTTTTTCCCCTCCTAAATGGATGGGGAGCTGTTTCAAATTATTTGCTTTTAAGAGTCAGCCTCATCATTGCTAAGACCTACGTATATATTGATACATTAATCTGTTTCTTGACTCTTCCGTTTTGTTTATTCCTAAGCCAATGCCACAGTATTTTAATCATTATGCTTTTTATGGAGTGTTTTGATCGCTGGTCCCTGTTTGCTGAAACACACTTGTTCTCTTGGTCTCTATCACCTAACACTTGTCTATTTTTATTACTACTTCCCTGGCTACTCCTCAGTCTCCTCCATAGACTTTTTCTTTCTGCTCATCCCCAAACATTAGTGTCTTCAGGATCCTTGCTCATTTTCATTGTATACAACCTCCCTGGGTGATTATCCACTCCCATGCTGATGACTTTCAAATATATATTTCTGCTTCTCATGGTGTTCCTAAATTATCTCTTCACTGTCCAATGGAACAGCAAACTCAACCTATCAAAAATAACTCATCTTTTCTCCTTACTCATACCCAATAAAACTGGCCTTCCTCTGGTGTTCCCTCCTTCATTGAATAGCACAACTGGCCATAGAGTTGCTGAAGTAAAATGTCTGCTTATCTTTTTTTTTTTTTTGCTTATCTTTTGGACAGTTTCTCACTATCCCTCCTCTTCCTGGGATCAACCACCTTACTCATTGGACCTCCTAAATATCTATGGGGTTCACCCAGTCCTCTCCACCCCACTGTGACTACCCTAGTTCAGGCCTCTCTCACCATGTACTTGGGTAATTCCAATTGCTAGCTCTGACTGGTATCTATATTTCCTCCTTTATCCTCTCTGTAATCTAATCTCCACATTGCAGCCAGTGTAGAGGTTAAATTTTTCAGTATAAAATGTAAATATAACCATGTCACTCTCTTACTTAAACCTTTCAAACGTTCCTCCATCCCCTTACAGGAACAAGTTCAAATTCTTTAATATGGCTCAGAAAGCCTTCCTTACTATGATTTGGCTTCTGTTTGTCTACCACAGCCTTAATACTTCATAAGCCGAACTCTTTTTATTTCTTGAATTGAGAATGCTCTTGTATCTCAAGGTCTTGTTAAAAAACAAAATTCAGCTGAAGATGTGAAGATCTAATTGGCTTTATTTAACAATTCATGAATCAGGAAGTATCTCATCGAGTAAATACAAAGACACTCTGAGGGGCTGTACAAAATGCAAGACTTTTATAGAAATAGAGGCAGGATAATGACGTTATTAGCAAAAGAAAGGGGAATTCCATTTAGGGGGAATGCTGGGGGATTTATCTTGCAGATTACCTCACTAGCGCTGAAATGTCAGACTGGTTAGTTTATAATTCCACTCCAGGAGAAGCTGAAACTCCTACTAGAGTTAGGAAATGAGTCTCGGTGAGATTTAGCAGAAGTGAATCCATTTGGGGCTTGTTTGTTTTTAACAGTCTCCAGGACCACCAGACCCTCCTCTTTACCTTTACTCATCCTAAAGATCAATTTCCTCTTGGACCACCCCTCACTCCCACCTCCTCTAGGTTAGGCGCTCCTGTTCTCCGCGTCCACTGCCCTTGTACACCTTGCTGTATAATTCATCACACTGCATTGAATCTATAGGCACTGAACCCCTTGAGGACCCCTCCAGTCGCTGGCTTCTTCGCGCAGAGACTCCAGCACCTAGGACAGGGCCTGACACGAAGTAGGTGCGTAGCGAATAGAGGACGCAGGAAAGAATGGATGCGGGCGAGCGGTGTCCTCGGAAGGCAGCGCCAAGTAGTTGAGAACCCGCGTTCTCTCTGTGGGAGGAGGGCTCGACCGACTCGCCGAAGGGTGTTAAGGAGGTCTCCGCTCCGCTCCTTGACAGGGCTCAATTCCCCACCCAGCACAGCCTCTGCCACACAGACGCGGCGCCCCTCCCACTTCCGGGCCAGCAGAACAGGAAGTGGAGGCGCGGGCTTCCCATGAAGCATCGCGGGGCGCCTATTCAAACCGAACGGAGAACCGGGAGGAGGTCGTGATGGCGGCCCCGGAGCCGGAAGTGCAGTCCCCGTCTGCAGTCCCTGGTAAGGTATGGAGTCCGGAGCTCGAGGAGTTTGTTTCCTCCCTGCCACGGCTCCCTCCAGTCATTTAGCCCGTAGTCGTTTCACTAATCCGTGTTCCCTCTTCCCATTTCCCGTCGTCCCTCCCCCTCTGACTCGGCCCCTTTGCCTCTCATCGCCCCCGCGGCGCTGGATTCCATTGGTTCACCCTCCTGTTTCTTCGCGACGTGTTTCTGGGCCCTGCTTGACACCGCTTTCTCTCAACTCATTTTCCCATATCAGGGCCTCTGCTTTCTGAGCAGATCTCCAGTCTCTGTCTCAGAAATTCTCGCCACCCGGTCCCCCCAAATCCTGCAGTCTCTTTCTTAGGCAACTGGGATCTGGAACCTGCTGGCGGCCGTCTATAGGGGAGTTTGCGGAGGGAATCCGCCTGTGTAGGCGTGTGGCCTCAGCTGTGGTGGCTGATGTCGCCTCAAGGGATGGGAAGACTGACTTTGGCCTCTAACTTTTTCTCATCCAAGTTCTAATCAGGCCGGATCCTGCTTAGCTTTGGAGAATAGAGATCGGGCTTCAGGGTGTTATCTCCATAGACCTTTTAAGTTTTTCGTTTTTCTCTCTCGTCCCTCTGTGCACCTGCTAGATTTGGAGTGGTGTGAGAAGTCGGAGGAAACCCAGGACCCCCAGATAGAACTACTTGAGACCACCTCCACCCAGGAACCTCCCAACCCTTTGGAGCCCTTTCGTCCCAGGGACTGCATGGTTCCAGTGGTGTTTCCTGGGCCTGTGAGCCAGGAAGGCTGCTGTCGCTTTACTTGTGAGCTCCTGAAACATATCATGTACCAACGCCAGCAACTACCTCTGCCCTACGAACAGCTTAAGCACTTCTACCGCAAACCTTTTCCCCAGGTAGGCACAAGCTTTGGGAGTAAATTGGTGAGTGAACTTTGTGGCTGTTAGATGATGGCAGGTAAAAAGGGTGGTCAAAGGAACCTTCATGCCTGTCAGCATAGGCAGCTGTAAAGGATGTTTCAGCCCTATGGCTTCAGTCCTTTCCCACTCTAGTCTGGGTAGTCAAAGCCTTCCCGCCTTTTCTCTTGTTTTCTTTTTCTGAAACTTCTATTTTATGTTACATTTGGACTTCATGAACTGATCCTCTAATTTTAGTGTATTTTCTCTCCAAATCCTCATTTCTTTGTTTCTGTTATACTTTTCTTCCTTGAGTTTATATTCTTACACTTAAAGTAATTTTTTGGCAGTCACAGTCTTAAGAACTTTTTCTTAAAATTTTTATATTTTAAATTTATTTTGACTGTGCTGGGTCTTAGTTGCAACCTGCAAGCAAGATCTAGTTCGATCCCTGCATTGGGAGCTCACAGTCTTACCCACTGGACCACCAGGGAAGTCCCACATGTTCCTTTTTAATTATATCCTGTTGTTTCCTGTCTGTATGAACTTCTCTTACTTTCGGGTATTAATTACTGTGTTTTTGTAGTTTTCCTCTGTCCCTTGCACTGTCTCTGTTTCTTCCAGATTCCTTTCCTATTTATTTGTTTTGGTCTCTTTCACAGTTGAGGCTTTTATTTGGTGTCTGAATATTTAAGAATAAGTCATTGAAAGTGCTGTGTGCATGGTTGGCCCTGTGAGCTAGCTGATAGACTTAAAGGACATGGGTGGGAATGATAAAGGGAAAGAGGATTATTTGCTCTAATAAAGGTGATTTTGGAGTTATCTTTTAGTTAAACATGGTAAACTGAACACATTTATTTGTGCTCCCATCTGATACACTACTCAATGAAAGAAAAAGGAAGGAAGGAAAGAGAGAAAGAACACTTCCACAACTATGTTTGGGTGGGGGAAACTGGCAGGCCATCTAAGGGTCCTGGGCTTCCCAGGTGGCACTAGTGGTAAAGAATCTGCCTGCCAGTGCAGGAGACATAAGAGTTGCAGTTTTGATCCCTTAATTGGGAAGATCCCCTGGAGTGGAATGGCAGCCCACTCTAGTATTCTTGCCTGGAGCATCTCATGGACAGAGGAGTCTGGCAGGCCAGTCCGTAGGGTCACAAAGAGTCGGACATGACTGAAGTGACTTAGCACGCACGCATGCTGAGGGTCCTTGCACAGGTGTTCACTCAGTCCCCATGTGTTCACTTTTGTGTTCTGTGGTGCTTGAGTGAACAACTCCTGTGCCTTTTATGGGCTTCTTCAGTGTGGTTTTGCTTCTCAGGGGAGTCCCCTCTGACAGCACTTGCTATTCAGCTCTCTTGAGTGCTTCCTACTTTCTCTCTTCCAAAAATTTGTTGTTGTCTTTAGCCACTGTCATCTGTTTTTTAGTTATTTTTGCCACTGGGAGTTCTCTTTCTCTCCCCTCCCCTCTTTTTTCCTCTCTCCCACCCACTCTTTCATTTCCTTCCTCCCTTCCATCAGTTTGCCACGTTTTTTTAAAAAATTTATTTTTCATTGAAGGATAATTGTTTTACAGAATTTTGCTGTTTTCTGTCAAACCTCAACATGAATGCCATGTTTAACTGGAGGATGAACTTCAGAATTTATTAGACCAAATAATCCTTGGTTTTTTTTTTTTTTTTTTTTGGCTGAATAGTTGCCAAGCACAGGCTCTCTAGTTGCCCTGTGGCATATGGGAATCTTAGTTTCCTAAGCAGGAATCAAGCTCTCGTCCTGTGCGTTGGAATGTGGATTCTTAACCACTGGACCTCCAGGGAAGTCCCCAGTCCTCAGTCTTGTTATTATTTTCAGCACAGCAAAAGCTTACTACCTGCCATGCCACCACATGAGTACTTCAGTATTTTAGTTGCTAATTTCTGGATGCCCTCCTGCTTCATTACACTGTCTTTGCTATTCTGAGTGCAGAAGAATTAAGATTTTGTACAAAGAATCTATTTTCCTTTTTGATACATTTCCCTGTGATAAAACCCAGGGTCTTGAGTGTGGCGGTTCACTGACCTGGAGCTCCAGTCCTATAAGTCTGCTCCATCCCAGCAGGGTTCTTCAAAGGGTATTAGCTTTCGTCTACCTTGCAGACCTTCTCTGTCACCATTCTTTGTCCTCACAGGCAGAGGACGCAGTGAAGAAGAAACCTTGGGCCACTGCTGAGGTGAGCAGCAGGAAATGCCAGCAAACCCTGGCAGAACTGGAGAGTGTCCTCAGCCACCTGGAGGGACTCTTTGCCCGGACACTAGTCCCTCGAGTTCTGATCCTCCTTGGGGGCAATGCCCTCAGCCCCAAGGAGTTCTACGAGCTTGACCTGTCCCGATTAGCCCCCAACAGCATGGACCCAAGCCTGAGCACGGCAGCTTGTTTGCGCCGCCTCTTCCGAGCCATTTTCCTGGCTGATGCCTTCAGTGAACTGCAGGTCCCTCCACTCATGGGCACCGTTGTCATGGTGCAGGGTCACCGCGACTGTGGAGAGGATTGGTTTCGACCCAAGCTCAATTACAGAGTGCCCAGCCGGGGCCACAAGCTGACTGTGACCTTGTCCTGTGGCCGACCCGCCATCCCAGCTACAACCTGGGAGGATTACATTTGGTTCCAGGCACCAGTGACACTGAAAGGCTTCCACGAATGAATGGGAATGCTCATCGTGAACACAGTGGCTAAATTATCTTTCCCCTGGTAGCACCACATCACCCATCTCCTGCTTGGAGCTAGTTAATTCCTGGTGAGAGGAAGGTTCTGTCCTTCTGGCTGCCTGCCCCCTTTAGACTTTCTGGTGGACGGATGGTTGAACAAGCATCTCTTTGAATCACAGGCTGATTTTCCCAGAAGGTGCTGGGTCAGGTGTTTCTTTTTGGGGCTGGAAAGCAAACATGGACCCATAGGCAGGCTCCCTCCCCTGCCCACCCACCCCCGGGGCTGAGGGGAGGTGACCCTTTTTAGTTTTTGCTGTGGCTTTTCAGAATTTTTAACAGGGACATAATGGTGTGATTCGTGGACTTAAATATATTATAAAATGAATGGATTCATATTAAATTTTCCTGAAACATTTTTGGCTTAAAGAGATTTAAAAGAGGCTTAAGGCTAAAGTAATCTTCTCCCTTGGTCTCTTAGGCTTCAGCCTTCCATGATTTCTTTTTTTTTCTAATAGTTCTTTCTTTTCATTATTCCTGGGCCAATATGGGAAGTTAAATGACTTGGCCAAGGTTCTTTAACAGTTTGATAGCAGAGTTGGGACTAAGAATCCTCATCAGCTAACTCCTAGCCTGATGTTCTTTGCTTGCCACATGTTGGTTTCTGTGACCCTTAGAGTATGTGTACCCAAAGCAGAGGTCACATAGTGGGAGGGACCTGAGAAAAGAAAACCTAAAGCCTGATTGAACCAGAGGCTAAGACACCGGGTCTTCCCAGTAGAGGCCACGTATCCCTTCTGGAATTCGCCCTGTGTCTCCATCGCAGTTGCGTGGTGGCTGCTGGCAGTTACTGTTGGCAGTACTGTCCTCATGCCATCCCTGCCCTCCTGCCAGTGGCCATCCCTCAGCGCCATCTGTGGCTTGGCCATCCTGATCTTTAGTGTTGTCCTCGCAAGCTTGGTGCTGTCCTGACCACTGAGCACTAACGCTCTTTGTCCCTGAGAACATCTGCTTATTTCTTGGAAGCAAGTTGAAGGCAGAATCCTCACCCTGCTGGTGTTGGAGATAGGTGTGTGGTGTGTGTGTGTGTGTACAATATATACTATTTTTAATACTTTAAGAAAACATGAAAAATAGTTTATATTTTTAGTAGGTTTTAAGCACTTTACATATATTATCTAATCTGATAACCTTATAGATTTCATATCATTGTCTCTATTTTATAGATGAGGCTTGGGGAGACTGAATAACTTGCCTAAGTGTTGAAACCTGGATTCAGATCCAGTCCAGCTGACTCCAGAGGCTGAGTGCTTTACACTGTACTGTACATTCTGGGTGATTTTACTCTGAGATGATTAAACAGGGTTTGCCCTGCTGAATTTGGTAGCATTGGAAAGCTGTGGGACTTCATCTCTGGCTTCAGATTGTGTTTCCTGGCGTGGAACCTGCCACTTACTGGTGCTAAGTAAATATAGAATCAATGCAAACAAAAGGTTTGAGTTCTTTTCTGTGCTGTGTCCACTTGAAGCGTACTCCACCAGCTGGACTCTCCACTATTTTTGTCTGATAGTACCTTACAGAAGAGGAATAGGGCCATATCTCCCACTCGGAAATGGACAGGCTGCGGGGTCGGCTTAAAGGGAGGGAGAATTTTGAACATGGGAGTTAAAAACTTTTGAGATGGAAGACATTAAGGCAAGTCTGATCCCTCAAGTCCTACTTTAAAAAACCTTCACAATGTCTAGACAATTAAAACTAAGTTAATTGTCCAGGTAATTTAGACACTTCTCAGCTTGGCATTGGGGCCCAGGTCATTCTGACTTCATGAATCTTCTCCAAAGGAATCCAGAAATTAATAGATCAGTTAATAATTTTATCAGGAAATATTTCCTTCCCTGACAACAAGCCTGCTGAGGTATCTGTTTATCTCTTTTAACCTTGGCTGGGCACTCCAGAGATGCAGGTGAAGAAATCATATCTAGCCCAGGGAGTGAAGATCCCCAGCTTCAGTGGTTCTGGCCTTTCATCTGTTGCTACCATTTGAACCTAAAAGCAATAGGTGTGGGACCTGAGGTAGGTAAATGTAGGTGATAGGGAACATGTAGTTGTTGATGTTGTATGTGGCAATGTTGTTGGGGAAGTGTAGTCCATAAACACACGTAACCCTCTTTGCACCCTCCTTTCCCAGGGTGTGGCCCTATATGGTGCCCCTTGCCCAGCCAGCCCCTCCCTACCCCCCACACTGGAGTCCTGACATTGGATCTTTGGGGAGTCCCCACTCCCCGCTTCTAGGTCTCTGCCACTTAGCTGAAGAACTCCTGTGAAAGGGAAAAAGCCATCTGTGAAGACTGAGGACAGTGGAATAGGTGGACCCCACTCTAAGACCTGGTTCTGGGGGGAATTGATTGTCTTGGGAATCTTAGAGCCAGGAGGATCTTAAATTCTTTTCCGAGGAAATTCTGAGGCCAAGAAAGGACAGACTGGAGTGAAATAATATAGCTAGTCTTACTGTTGTTTTTCTTCCCAAGCCCCCATTGCATATGCTATACAATGAGGACTCAATAAATGTCGACTGTGTGGAGGGGCTTTAGAGGAAGCAAAATAGCCCTGGAATTCGGCTAAGTTGGGACCTCCAACCTACCACTGTATCCTGCTTATTCTGGGGGCAAAAACCATGCCGTTGCTGTGACAACTGAACACCTCCCATCACCCAGTGGGGAAAGGAAGCAGAAGGGAGCGAGTGTACGCCCAGGCTTTTCGGAAGCGTTCCTTGGGTCGGGTGGGTGAAATCCTGCTTCCGGTAGGATGGAGGGGCGGAGCTTTGGGTCTCCATGGACACGGCTTCTCCTAGCAACCTGGCGGGCGTTGAGCAGAGCCGCCTGCGCGATGGACGCGGAAAGCCTCCTGCTGTCACTGGAGTTGGCGTCTGGCAGTGGGCAGGGCCTTAGCCCAGACCGTCGGGCCTCGCTGCTCACTTCGCTTATGCTGGTTAAACGCGACTACCGCTTCGATCGGGTCCTCTTCTGGGGCCGCATCCTCGGCCTGGTCGCCGATTACTACATCGCTCAGGGCGTGAGCGAGGACCAGCTCGCACCGCGCAAGACCCTGTACAGGTGGGGAGGGCACCCGGCTGGCCACGGCCGCAGGGGGATGCTGAGGGGAGGGATGCCGGGCCGGGAAGGGGCGAGTGGGAGGTAGGACCTAAAGGGACGGGTTCCAGAAGGCGAGGGGGATGAGATCTGAGAGAGCAGCCCCGGGAGGACGCCTGGAGAGGGGCGCCAGAGAAACTTAGAGGCTGATGGTTTAATAATGGAAGCGGGGCAAGAACGGAGGCGGGGCAAGATGAAAGCTTCCGGAGAATGAAAACCCGGAATAGAAGTCCTGTGGTGGGCCTGGCTTTCCAAAGAGAAACGTTTGGAGAAGGGTCCAAACTAAAGTTTCTCTTTAGTTTGGAGAAGGGTCAGAAGCTTTGAGGGGTAGCGTGGAGCTGTTTGGAAATGGGTCCTGAAGCATTTGGGGTGGAGGTGTTGGCTCATAGGAGGCACTCCAGGAAGTAGTGAATGAATGTGGAATGGAAGAGAAGGGATTTAGAACTGAGCAAATTTTTCCTGGACACTGCCAATTTAGGACCATCCAACCTCTTTTTTACTACCCCGTTGATGGGGAGCTCCCCATCTTACAAGCGTTTTGTTCAGGCCGAAGAAAGTTGGAGAGTTCATTTATCTATCCATGCAGCAATCCAACATTGATTGAATGTTTTCCAGGCTAGACCTGGGGTTAAAAAGATGTCTAAGACTCTCCCCTATCTCCAAGTTATTCACACCCAGCAATTACAGCAAAGCAGAGGTGTACACGAAGGGGAGGCAGGGTGGGACATTCTCCTGGAGAGCTTTTTTTTTTTTTTTTACCTTCAAAATCTCAGCTTTAAGATCTTATTTGTTTCATTTGCATTTTTTGGTAAATTAATATTTAATTGGAGGCTAATTACTTTACAGTATTGTAGTGGTTTTTGCCATACATTCACCTGAATCAGCCATGGGTGTACATGTGTCCCCCTTCCTGAGCCCCCCTCCCACCTCCCTCCCCATCCCATCCCTCCGGGTTGTCCCAGTGCCCCGGCCCTGAGTGACCTGTCTCGGGCATCGAACCTGGACTGGTGATCTATTTCGCATATGGTAGTATACATGTTTCAGTGCTATTCAGAGAGCAGTTTTTAATAGATTACTGATATCCGAGAGATGACCTGGAGTCCTCCAGGAAGGAGTGGGGGAAAGGCATGCCAGTCAGAGGGAACAACTGCAGACTTGCTGGCTGGAGCTGGCTTGGGAGGACAGAGGGTAGGCAACCATGACAGTGGCAGCCTAGGGTGTTAATGTTGAACTTGATGGAGAGGCCAGGAGATTTGAACTTTGTCCATAGGCTATGCAGAGCCACTGAGGACCTTCAATCAAGAAGAGCCTGCTCAGACCTGAGTGGCCAGAAGGGTCTCAAAGTGGGCAAGCGTTCGGATGTCTGTTGCAGACTGAAAGGAGGAAGGAATGGAGGGGCGGGGTTGGAAAGATTAAAGTGGTAGAAGTGGTAGGACTTGTGACTAAATGGGGAAAGGTGAAGTGGAGGTCAAGGTTGACACTTCCTTCTAGCTTAGGCAGCTGGGTAAGGGCTGCTGCCACGCACTAGGAAAGAATTCAGGAGGTACTAGGGAAGGTCTAGTGAATTTGGTGTCAGGTGTCCATGGGGCAGTGTGGTAAGGAAGCATATTAAAGTACAGATTTGGAGTCCAAAAGAAAAATTTGGACTGAAGATAGAGATTTGAACCTCACTGTATTCCAATAAGTTTTTATTTCTCCAGCACGTAGTATGTGCCAGGCATTGATCTAGACATGGGGAATTCAGTGCTAAAGTCCTTGTCTTCATGGAGTTTACATTTTAGTGTGTGTGTAGCAGGGGAGGGAAGACAGACAATAAACACACACACATATACTGCATACGCTTAGCATTG